AGGTTAGGTATATACAGTGACTTTCATTTAGGAGAAAATTTTTGGCTATCGGTTCCGGTCATTTTTTGGGTCATAGAATATGTCACATTTCAGCAATGGAATTTGGCAACAGTTTTCGTAAATATTTCAGTTGCCTATTCCATGTAACTCTGATTATTTCAATCTCCAATTCATTTAATAACCGAAATCTTATACCCACTATGTTTTAGATCGAAGAAGCATTGTGTTATGAATCGATCATTCGAGCCCAACGGAGAAATGACAGAAAAAAGAGTAAATTGGACCAGAAACCAGCGATCGATGATGAGTAACCCAATTCTGTTCCGTATTATATTTAATATATTTATAATATTTCTCCAAAATTTTATATTTGTTATGGAAGGCGATATATCAAAAAAATTTTGAGTAGTCGTCTTTATGTCTTGATGGAGACACGACAGGTACCCTTACGAGGGGAGAATCAACCCTTGTCGTCAGTAAACCCTCTTTGCAACCGAGGTAGTCGCCTTATGGGTTAGGTAAATAAAGTGACTTTCATATAGGAGAAAATTGTTGGCTATCGGTTCAGTTTATTTTTTGGGTAATCGAATATGTCGCATTTCAGCAACGGAATTCGGAAACAGTTTTCGTAAATATTTCAGTTTCCTATTCCATGTAACTTTCATAATTCGAATTCCCTTTTCATTCAATAATCGAACTCTAATACCGGCTACGTTTTAGGTCGAAGAACCAACGTGTTATAAATTGGACCATTTGAGCCCAACGGAGAAATAACAGAAAGAGAGGAAATCAGACCAGAAACCAGCGATCGATGATGAATAACCCAATTTTGTTCTGTATTATATTTAATATACAGGCTGATTTTAAAATGAGTGCATATATTCAAGACATATATATGAAAGAGTCTAACAAAAATTACTAAAATATTTGATTTTTCCTAAGTCTTCACATTAACGAGAAATTTCATTTTGAAAATTGAACATGAAATGCTTCGAAATTCGAGTACGCCACTGGGAAGCAAGTGAAATCTGCGGAATCCCAGGGAATCTCCAATTCGTCATTCACTAAAGTCAAAACAAGACAGTGATGCCAGATTGTTTCAGAGACGAATATCCTGATAAAAATTTGTCACAGAATGAATATGAATTGAAATAGGTTATGGAAACTAATAGAGGTGAATGTAATATGTACAGGAGCCTTATTTTTTAAAGTTCACTGAGAGAACTGTGGGGTGATTATCTCCATGGATCACGAGAGACGGAGAGAAACATGAGGGGAATGATAGAACGTCCCCACAAAGTTGAAAATCGACTCACCTAGTAGATTTTCTCATACCTGCTCGAACAGCAAAACTCCCGAGAGCAAACAAATACTAAATCGAGTCCATTCTAGACTAATATCGTCCTGTGTTCTTGTTGGTTCATATTCGCACTTAAACCATCGAAAACGACTCGACGACGACATATCCTTCCTGGCAATCTCACATTGAAAATCACGACCATATCACGATTATCACGACACAAGACACAACATCCAATTATTTTATTTTTTATTTTACGTTCACAATTATTTTACAAACACACAAACAAAACATATCAGAACAGTAGTATCTGTGACCATAGATTTCCTCTATGCTGTGACCTTTGACAGTTCTAACTAGGATAACGGATAACCGTCAGAAGCATGCACAAGTCCACAGAACCCAAAAAAATCATACAGTTCTGTGAAACTGCGCATGCTTCTGACAGTTTCAGACGCAAGAATTCAGATGACCATGAATTACTAATAGGCGATTTCTACGGACCAATCAGAAACAGCAAAGTAGCGCCTGCGTGGTTGCGATTCATCCTGATTGGACACAGCTGATTGGATTTGTGAGATTAGTGTATAGTGAGGAAGTATCATTTCATTGAATTAAACTAATAGATGTTTTTTCCAAATTAGTTTTTTATGAAAATGTTAGTTTCATTTAAAGATATGATCCTTCCTCACTAATACATTAATCTCAATCACCTGTGCCCAATCAGGATGAATCGCAACCACGCAGGCACTACTTTGCTGTTTCTGATTGGTCCGTATAAGTCGCCTATTAGTAATTCATGGTCATCTGAATTCTTGCTGGTAGCACACCATAAGAACAATCAAAACAAAGATCCTTTCTTGACAGTTTGTTGTTCTGAGAATGTATGTTATTTTGGAAAACGTCAAAACGTGATACTAGTTAATGTAAACAGTGTGGTCCTTGTCATTACTTTTGTAATAGATCTATTACTATTCCACGGAGATTGTTACAATATTACGATTTGTCATGAATCTATTACTATTGGGTGTTAGCACCAAAATATGATGTTTTGTTACTGTTAGCACCAAAATATGATGTTTTGTTACTAAAAAATCTATTTCTGTGTTCAGCGGGTAATTATGTTCTGCTCTATGGGTCTATGTTCTATATTCATGTCATAAGTTCTGTGTGACCTGCCTCATTCCTGCCAAAACTGTCTAATTTGTGCGATATGGTTTTACAAGTATGACATTCAGAATGTCAAATGTCAGATTTTTAGGATCTATTACCTTTTGATACAAATCTGTTACCATTTTCCAAGAAAATCAGAAAATCAGACCCAGGAACAACACTGAATGTAAAGTTTTGTTTCTGACAATTTGCTTGGAATGTGACGATGTATTTCTCAAACATTGAGCTGAATGATATGGTTCTTATGTCGGGTCGTTATTGTGCGGGGCCCATGAGACTCCTCGAAGACCACGAAATTGTAGCGATGCAAGGAGGTGGAAGGAAGGGTCTAAAGGATTTTTCAGTAAAATAACTTCCAACCGTGAGGTGTTAAGTTATACGCTATTCGAGCTTATGTGTAGAAATCTTGGGTGAGTCCATTTTGAAGTTTTTGTATTATCTTTCTGAAATTCAAGACCAGAGTTAACTTCTTCCCCATGTACATTTTCTCGATTATACATTTTATTTAATATCTCCTAATTTTCATGTAGAGTGGCAACGTCGCTTCGTTCATCATGGTCGACTGCGGATCGCAAACGATAGTTGTGACAGAAGTAGAAATCTGGGCGGAAAAAGGGTATTTTGCCCCAAATCTATTTAGATCCTAATAATATTTTTAATAGTGCTATTCGGTAGTATACCTCAAGCTTTCTTAGTGTTTAAAATATATGCACTTATTTTAAAATCAGCCTGTATTCAGAATATTTCTACAAAATTTTATATTTGGAATGGAAGGCGATATATCGAAGAAAATTTTCCGGTAATCATCAATATGCATATTGACAAGACATGTCTTGATGGAGACACGACAGGTACCCTTACTCAGGGAGAGTATCAACCCTTGTCGTCAGTAAACCCTCTTTGCAACCGAGGTAGGCGCCTTATGGGTTAGGTATATACATTTCAATTGGGAGGAAATTGTTGGCTATCGGTTCCGGTTATTTTTTGGGTAATATAGAATATGTTGCATTTTTTAAAAACTGAATAATCAAATAATTCAATGTCATGTACATACATGAACTGTTAGTGCCCGACAAATTGGTCATGTCATTCAAAATTTTTTAGGGTTATGCCTTCTGTCACTGCTTGTTATAGTGTCCGTACTCTTATTACAGCAAAACTGTCAAATACATACAGGGTGTCTATAATGTTAACTATAGGTGAAGGCGACTTACAGTGTAATTCCTGATAGAAAATAAGTGAGCGCTACCTATCGAAGATTTTGAAATCTCTCAGAGCGGTGTGTTCACCTTGATTTCATTGGTTCGTATTCGTTTTTAGTTGCTAGCCACTAGAAAGCATGACAATTTCTGTGTCACAAATTTATGATCATTGCCATGATCATCAGAGTGAGCTATTTGATCCATGTGAGTTTCTGAACGATGATGATAAGTGCATGTTTTAGAGTATACAGAGAAGTGCACAAAAACCGACCAGGTCTGTAACTCAAGAATTATTCGAGATAGGGGTTTGAAAACTGCTGATTAATTGACGGAACCATTTTTGTTCTATCACTTCCGATTTTACTGGAAACGACCCCAACTTTTGATTATTGAATGGGACACCCTGTATTGCATTCCATAATCGGTTAGGGATTGTCATAACAAATTCATCGATACCATGTTCGATAGGGTTATTTCAAACGATCACGCAGATATTCGCGATCTAAGTTTCCATATGCTCAATGAGTGTGACAAAGAAAGAAGTTTTGATATAGCGAAGCCACACCCCCATTGAGCATATGGAAACTTATTAGAACGCAAATATCTTTGTAATTGGTTGAAATAACCTAACCGATTATGGAATACAATACAATTTCCCTCCATCATGAATACAATACACTACAAAATCAAAAGTTGAGGTCGTTTCCGGTGAAACTGGAAGTGATAGAAGAAAAATTGGTTCATCACTCAATAAGCAATTTGGCATACTTGCTTCGAAACCCTATCTAGGATAATTCAAAAGTTACAATCCTGGCCGTTTTTGTGCACTTCTCTGTATAGTGTGGAGTACTGAATGTAGCATTATTTTCAATACTGGGAATAATTTTATAGCATTTTTGCAATAATATAAATATCATATCGAGAGATTATGTAATTTTCGGTAAAATGGGAAGTTGAAAAAATATACCAGAGTAGGTAGGTACTTACTTAAATCGTATAGTTTTCCGCGATATAGTCAATGTTTCTTTATCATATCAAGAATAAATCAAATTAGGATAAAACTGAGTTGAAAATATTGGACGTTACTTTTTATATAACATGTTTATTCATTCCAGTCAGTACAAAATAACTTCAGAAAATAATGGCACGCTATCAAATTCAGCTAGTTTCAATATCCATGGCAACCGAACCTACGTTTATATACGATTTTATTCAATAGTAAATTATTGTGATGCATATGCATATCAAATACTGAATTAAAAAACATGCCCATGATTTTCAGAGACTTGGTACTCGCCTTAAATCAACACACATACCTACATTTTATACATTATAATCATTCTTACAAAAAAGACTTATGAAAGTTCAGCTACTCTAAAAACTTAATTGCTATCATTAATAATTACAAAGCTAACTTTCTTCCTTCTATCGAAATTTCCACAGCTCTTCTGGTCTGCTTCAATCTCTTTGTATCCAAGAAGTTCTTATAGTGCTTCTCAAATCTATTCATGCCCTTCTTCGTAGTCTACAAAAGATATCAGAGTGTGAAAATTAATAACAACAGCTATGGAGGAAGATGCAACTTTTTATGCTACGATGAAGATTGAGTCACACAGTTCCCAATAATTTGAGATGATGAGATTATAAAACATGCCAGGATAGGGAAGTGGACTAATCATTTTTTATCTCTTAAATAGAATCATCATTCAAACACCTTTCAATTTCATATTTTTTAAGAATTTTCTGATCGATTTTTAGAGGCTAAAATCATCAATAATGCCACGGTAATTTTCAAACGGATAGAAATTTACCGCTAGTAAAAACTGACGCCACGATTTCGTAAGTAGAGACAGACCATAGCACAGTTGCTATGTGTTGAAATACGATTGGGAACTACAGAAATATTAGTTAATGTATCAATTGAGTATTGGTAATATTCCTTATTAGCAATGAAAATTCAATTGTCTCGAAATGTTCCCTTATGATTTGTGGTTCATTGCTTATAATAAATTTGTGTAAATAATAATTATATTAATTCGCACTAGAGGACATTTGAATCGTTGACGTGATAACCACGGCGCACAACTTGTGGGTGTGGTCTTGTCAGTTCTCAGCATTCAGCACAATGTTGCAAAGTCTCCAACATTCACATGCTATTTTGTTATGGAGAATAAGAAACATTTGGACATGCTGGTTGTCAACGACAGGACTGTATCTAACATCTTTTTGCTAACTTGATTATAATTGGTGATTTGACAACCTTGCTTCATGAGTGGAAATGGAGATTACCTGACCAATAACGAAACAGCATAAAAACTGAAGTCATCATTCATTAGACGTATCGCCGAATGGCGGCCATGAAGGTTCGTTTGAAATGAGCTCTGAAATTCAACAATTTCGAACAACTCTTAGACTCTTTATTTACATAAAAAATACGTGAGAAGTGTTGCAAAAATTAATTTAGACTCCTAACGACACAGTGGAGTAATTGAATGCCAATAATTCATTATCAGTCCTCTCGCCCATCGTTCCTGAAATATCCAGAAATCGTTAGATAGTATGTACCTATTTCATTGTATATTATTAAAGTCAAAAGAAAAACAGCATCCATAAATTTATTTTCAGAAGTAATGAAATCAATGCAATGGATTTGAAATCTTGTACTCAGTGGATATCATCAATTCTGGATTGCACATGAAGAATAATGACAAAAGATCTTGAGTGCCAAAAAGACGCACCAGTATGATGAGTGAAAAACAGTATTAAGGTCCAAACACAATGCAAAAGACTAAGGAATAGGAATACGGAATACCACTATGATTGGTTCAAAACGCGTTCAAGGTTAGAATTGAACAATAGTAGACCTGAATTTCTTATTTTTTATTCTTTAATTCTCTATTCCTCTACATTGTTTCACGACCTCAAGTGTTCATTACCCGCTTCATAGTGGCATATGTTCAAGTGAATCGGCACATGCGTTCCCTGTGTTTCTTTTATAAGCACGGAATGTGCAATAGCAGGTAACTAGGAATCTAGATTGCGCCACTGACTTGAACTACTATCTAGACGGCTAATGCCATAAGGAAGAAGCTATGCCACGAGATCGAACTGGAGAACATGGATCATGAGCATTTAGGACATGTCATATATCTTACACACTCTTACTTATGTTTCCAAACACCAAGAAACTTGACTCAATGATTAGAGATTTTCGGGTTGCTGGGATATGACAGTGGTCTAGAGAGCAGTTACAGTCGTATTCGACGTGAAATTTGAAGTTTTTAAGAGTAATTCTTGCGGGCATCTTTTTGCAGGCATCTCTATCATTCTTCTGAAGTAATCAAATATCTGCCAGTCTAATTCTGTGCTTTGATTTTAAAAAATTGCAAACTTAGTGGTTGTTTTATATGGTATATCTTTTAGTTTCTTATGATCGTTGTATCCTTCGATCATACAACAGATATCATAATCCATCATTTCATTCCATCATTTTTATTTTACGAATCGTTTTTTTTTCCTATTCTGGTAGTATTTTTCTATCCACATCCTTCTTGTACAGTAGTATTCAATAAAAAAACGTACAAGTATTAAAAAGAGAGGATTTCGGGATCCTAGTTCTAGTTGTTTAAAACTGGCTCAGCCAATGCTTTGTGTTTTCGAGAACCTATGACAACTTTACTGTCAACATTTGGTGAACAATCATTCCGGATAGCGTTAATTCTCTCTGTAATATACTTGTACGCTTTTTTTTAATGCGACTGTACGTCAGTGGATTCCGCTGATTAGATTGGCGGTCATGTCAAATGTCAATATTTAATTGTTCATTTGCACTGGCAAAATTTAGAAAGTTTTCTTATTATATTCGTTTTTGTTTTGTGAGAACGTCTGAAATATGTGATTAGACTTTTTTTTAGAATCATGTCATTATCAAGACATGCATCATCATGTCATTATCATGACATGCATCATCATGTCCAGTTGATGACAGATGACCTTCAACCACTCAACGCTCCTAGTTGGCCGAGTACAACAATTTGTCAAATACATCAATTATTAGACCATCTTGAGACGATTCGTCGAATTTCATTACTTGTCTTCACTTATTGATGACTCATAATCTTGAAAATTACGTTCAAAGTTGGGTTCACATTCCTAGTTCTTTCTTCAGTAATGAATTAATGACTAACTGTAGAGCAAATAATAAACAGTAGAGTGTTGGTAAGTATAAATGATATTCAGAGTATTCAGAATGCAGAACTCATGTGGGAAATTCTCTTATGCTGTACATTGTAAGAGAAAAACTGTAAAAATGAACTATGATACTGGTATGTAGCATATATAAGATGCGATATGCTATCACACACGGATTACATCAAAACTATAATCAGCATCACAATAAGGGGCAATGAGTAGATTACATAGATGTTGCAGAAAAATGTTTTCTAGGATCTCAATATATTCCTTGCATTATTTTAGTTTCAAAACATGAAATATATCATATTTTCACATTAGTAACCACCCTTGTCGTACAATTAATCAGATGATATCAATCAATCAATCAATCAACTTTATTATTCCCAAGAAACAACATTTGTTTATAGCAGGGAACATAGTGAATACATAAATATATTTGACAAAATAAAATAAAGAAGACAGTAAAATAAGACTCACACTCAAAAAGAATCTTTTTTTTTTCAAGTTCAAATGAAAATGATCCTCAATTGACTCAGCTGTTAGGTACACAATTGAAAACTATAGTAGTTGTACAAGAAAACTATAAAAATGAGATAAGATGTCAATATTACAGGAGTAGATGTTTCTTGAATTCTCTTTTAAATTTTTCAATCCTATTAATCAGCTTCAAGTTATTTGGTAGTGAATTGTATTGTATCATTCCAATGTGATAGATGGATTTTTAACCAATATCTGATTTAATTTTCTTGACGGAAAAATGATCTGCTTGTCTGGTTGTATAAAGACAGATGTGCTTTGACAAAAAATAGCGTATGAATGGAAATTCCTTTTTTTTATTGTCCGACTGTCAGTTGTGCTACTTTGAAGTCAGTTCCCTGAATGGTCGCCAAAAAATAACTATTCAACTAACAATTTGATGAAATAAACTTCAATATTTTTTTTCAACATTCAGCAAAAGTTTGAATTAGGAACTAAACATATTCAAAAAAGTACATACCTAAACACATTTGAAAGAAGACGTTATTTTCCAAATAGTATTAGGATTTACTTTAAAAAAATACACCAATTCTTCACGTTCTTATATCATGGGAATGTGGTATCAGTGGGAATACCGAAAAATAAAGTCCAACGCTAATTAATTGAAAATGAACACTCACCGTACTAATATCAACTTCTGACTGCCATTTTGGTCGGACAAGGTAGTCTTTATTTGATGGAATTGGAACCCTAGCTCGAGCAACCCAGCCTTTTTCGCCAGGCCTCAGGGGTCTGAAACATAACAATTTAATGTTGAAGAAAAAATATATTCAAGATTATGATTGTATCCAAAGGCTGTTGAAAATTTCACGAAATTGTGATAGTAATCATACACTTACTTTCCCTCAGCATTTAGGGCTTGCGTTAGTTCTTTCCGCTCTTGTGATGACTCGCCATCTTCAGACCTCCTCCTCTTACCACCTCTTTGTTCATAATCCCTCTGCAACCTCTCTTCTTTACTCAAAGCTGAAAACAAGCCAACATAAATATAAATAATGTTTTTTCAAAACATGAAAACATCATCATCATTATCTTCATTATTTCGGAATATCCTGGAGATTTTCATACCTTTGAAGTCCGTTGACAAATTGAAAATCGGCCTAGCCCACTCGCTGATCAATCTTCCTGCTCTTTCCCTATTTTCTTTGGTTTCCTTTGGATGTTTATACAAATACATGACAGCCTTTCCAATGCCTGAATGCTTCAGAGTGGACTGGTCTACTTTTGGGAACTAAAAAAACTCATTTTGAACTATCATCCGCAGAGAAGATTTGAATATGTAAATGAATGATATACAGTATCATTAAGTTTTTTTTTAAATGACGTAGGGTTAGGAATTTCAAGATTTTTAGTTGAACCAAATTTGTTTTGTGTCGATTGAAAACTTTTTATACATAATTAGATATTTATATTTGCAGATAATTATAAAAAAAATCATCCACCACCTATATTTCAACACAATGATATCTTGATATCCCTCTGGGCCTTGAATTCGCATAAGCAAAACAATACTTTCATTGTATTCACCTTCAGGTACTAAAGTGATAAATTGGAACATATCTAGAATTTCTGTTGAGTGGTTCTTCAAAATCCAAAGAAAATGAACGATTAACCCACCCTGAGGAGATGCAGGTAAGAAATGAAACTCAGGACTTCACAAATTTGAAATAAATTTTGAATGTCATTAGATGTATATAAAAATGGAAAACATATGCCAGATGATTTATTCTTCACCATATCGACGAGATTTTTTGAGTTAGAAAACATTCAAAATCACACAATATACTGAAAAATTAGTCAAAACTAGCCCTTTTCATACTTCATTATTCTTATGAACACAACCTACGAGATTGAATATTTCTGTTGAACGATTGTCATATAATCAACTATCCTATGATACTTACATCTGCTAACAATTTTAGCAAAGCATCTCTAACTTGCAATGAAGGCATGGACCTATCAGGCATAGGCGCCAACCAGTCTGTCAAAACGCTGAGAACATTGTGTTCTATAAAAGCTAACTGTAAATCGTGTTTTTTCAACTGTGACATGACTTTGGCTAACATTCCAATTTTCTTTGTTGCTGGTTTCAAAGCTTGATTTAGTTTTCTGTCTTCCTGTACAAATACGAAAAATATTTCGTCAATTACGGATTCATTATAGAAAAGGTATGTTTTACCTCGGCTGCATTCCTCATATCTCCAAGTAGTCCGGCAATGATGTCATCATTATCATTGATAATATCAATATCCTTACGTTTGCGTTTCCTGTTACCCTCTTCACGTTTTTTTTGTAACATCACATCAAAATCAGACAAACCATGATTATCATCTCCTCTGAAAGAAAAAGATATATAACAGGGTGTTCAACAAAACTTGGGTAGATATACTACTCCCTTGCTAGGTTAGGTAAAACACTGCAAAATAAGTTGGGTTTGCTCAGTAAAAAAATGTCGCACGGCATCCGTTTTCAAGATACAAGGTGTTGAAAAAAAAATTGCATTCACTTCACACATATTTTTACGATTATGACGAATTAACTGGCAACATTGCAATGGAATATTGTAAGGATGTGTTTTGGAAGCTGACACATCGCATGAATTTGTTTTTATATCTGACTCTCATAGAGGGTGCTAGTTACATGTTTTGTACACTGAGTAGTTTTGAACATAACTTTTTTGAGGTTAGATCCGAATTTGTTGTGAATTCAAACAACATTCAATGTTACACCAAAAAAGGTAGGCACTCTTGGTGAAACTCGATATTGTGTTCCGTTTTCGGAATATTTTGATTTGAAATGATGAAGTGATAACGCTGGTATAAAAGCTATGTATTAGAGTAATTCGTATTATCTTGAGCAAAAAGTCTATGTTACAGAGATGAATTCACGTCAATAGTTGCAGGACTCAAGTGAACCTCACTTAAATGACTCAGCAGCTGAGTCTAATGCATTCTTAAGCAAACAACATAGAATCATGTATTAGTGGAAACGGAGGACATTTTGAACACTTACTCTAACCTAAACTGGTGCACAGTATTGAGTTTCATCAAGGGTACCTTTTAAATGTTGAATTCAATGTATCTTGAAAACGGATGCCGTTATGAATTTTTTTCACAAAATAAATCCAACTTATTTTGCAGTGTTCTACCTACCCTAGCAAGGGGTTCAGGTTTTTTAGAAACACCCTGTATGGGGAGTTCAATAATTATTTTCATTATTCTGAAATTATTATCTTTCTCATAATGTTCATTGACCAGATCTGTCACAAATAATATATATACTAATGATATGTAACATAATCAATCAATTAATCTGAATCTATCGGATCTATGTATTTGGTTGGCACACAATGAACTGATTTATGCTTCATGAATTGTTATTTTCTTCTTATTAGAAGTATAACTCTATAATCACAGAATTGCCGTACCCCATTTCTATTCTATTGCTTTGTATTGTGTGCCAACCAGATGCCATATTGATCAAGTGGCCTGCCTAATATCCTGCAACGGAACGGCAATAATCCACCAATGAACTCAATATAAACAACTGGAAGGGACCCTCTGTGAACGACGAGTGAGGCAAAAATATTGTTCAGGCAACCCGCAGTGTTTACGGATACCTATCTCTCTCTCTCTATCTTATGTTCGCTAATGGGAAGCGCTGGCATTATTTGAAATATTTTCTCATTTGTTGCTTTAATTTAAGAGTAAACGTGATTAAATAAAAATATTCATATAGAAAAAAAGGCAAAATATTGCAATCAATTATCATTGAAAAATTATTATTGATTTTTTTAGCGACTTAAAAATGAAATTTCATTTTTATTCTTACAGGATTAGGAAGTCAAATGAATACAAAATTGAAATTATATATTTTCATTCAAATGTCACAATATATTGTACAGGGTGAGTGAGGCACAAGGTAAAGTCCATAATATGATAAACATCTTCTTTTGGACCCAATGTTATGAACTTCCACAGATGCATCCTGAAAATAAATTACTTGCTAGTTTTTTATTTTAAAGAGGTGCAAACAAACTTTTATTTTCATTATTAATCATGTCTAAATAAATAATCAGTTTGCAGGAAATGCTCTCCACAAAGCTTGCTGGTTTTTGATAGAGTCCAACTCTCTCTATGAACTGCCTTAATCCATAATTCAAGAATGTCTGAATGGAAAACTTCAACAAATAATATTACTTAATATGTTTATGGGAAAGTCATGGTATTATTTAACTTTGACAAATAATATAGGAATAGTTTTTGAACAAATTCTGAGACTGGGAACATTGTACACATAACTGATGATCATTTCAAGAACTATATTTTCCAAAAATCTGAACAATATTCAACTTACCCATGGAATGACAATTTCCCTTTTTCTTGCTCGTTCTTGCATCCAAAGGCGACACATTAAATCATCATTGTTCAATGTTCATCAAAACCTTCTCAACTAGCAGTTCACAGTGTTCACACCAACAAATTCAGTCCTTTTTCTATAACAAAACACGCCAAGGGAATAGATATTTCACATAAACAAAGACAATGAACTTATGTATTCACTTTCTTGCCTGTTTAGATGAGAGGAAAAAATCTAAAGTACTTCAATTATTAGATAGAAGAAAACGTATACACCAATCCACCATTAAACAACACGAGTAGGAAAGAGACAGGTTACCGTAAATCATATACCTTTGTTGCAGCTGCCCCTGACACACTTTGTGCTATTCGAGAGAACGGCCGTCTCCCTTCCAGTTGTTTATATTGAGTTCATTGTAATCCACTCACCCATGCCTATCTACGCCCTCGTCGGAATCGTAATCGTCCTGCTGCGGCGCCTGCTGCTCCTCCTCTTCAGGTGCCCCCTCCTGCTGCACTTCCGAAGGACCAGCATCGTCTTCGTCGTCGCTCAATACTGTTTTGGCTGCTTTCGGTTTAATTCCGCCATCATCCTCGGAATCGGAGAGCAACGCACGTTTGCTACCACGCTTAATCGAGCCCGATCGGGATCTAGACCTCGACTTGGAACCCGATCTTGACCTTCGCGATCCAGATCTTGATCTTCGTGAACCCGATCTTGATCTTCGTGAACCCGATCTTGACCTTCGTGAACCCGATCTTGACCTTCGTGAACCCGACCTTGATTTTCGCGAACCCGATCTCGATCTTCTAGATCCCGACCTCGACTTTCGCGAACCCGACCTCGACCTTCGCGAACCCGACCTCGACCTGCGGGAGCCAGAGTGAGACCGTCTAGAGCCCGATCGAGACTTGGCAGAGCCCGATCTCGAACGTCTTGAACCCGACCGCGACCTTGAGCCTGATCTAGAACGCCTCGAACCGGACCGAGACCTGGCCGACCCTGATCTCGATCTCTTCGAGCCTGATCTCGATCTCCTCGAACCTGACCTCGATCTCCTCGACCCCGATCGCGACCTTCTCGAGCGCGAGCCCGACCTTGATCGGGCGGAGCCTGACCTCGATCGGGCGGAGCCTGACCTCGACCTTCTCGAACCAGATCTAGACCTTGATTTCGCCGAACCGGATCTGGATCTACGAGAGCCAGACCTGGATCTGGATTTCCCGGATCCGGACCGTGACCTTCTGGATCCTGACCTTGATCTGGAACCTTGAAGGATGAGAATAAATTAATATAACTATCATCAATACTCGTTGGAGTTTCACATACCTGATCTCGATTTTCTTGAGCCACTTCTAGATCTAGATCGAGCATTCGCTGATCCAGAACGTGATCTAGATCTGGATGCAGCCTTGGCAGAACCTGAACGTGACCTTGATTTTCTTGATCCTGACCGGGACCTTGCCTTAGCAGAACCAGAACGTGATCTGGACTTCGATTTTCTCGATCCTGAACCAGAACGGGACCTAGATCTTGATTTTCTAGACTCCGAAATCGCCTTAGTTGAGCCTGAACGAGACCTAGACCTTGATTTTTTCGTTCCAGACTTTGCGTCCTCCGGACCTGAACGTGACCTTGATCTAGATTTCCTGGAGCCTGACTTTGACCTTGACTTGGCTGAACCTGAGCGTGACCTAGATCGGGATTTTCTAGATCCTGACCTTGACTTTGCCTCAGCTGAGCCAGAACGTGACCTAGATCTTGATTTTCTAGATGCAGACCCAGACCTATCTTTGACAGAAGCTGATCTTGATCGAGATTTTCTTGACCCTGACCTCGATCTTGCCTTGGCAGAACCTGAACGGGATCTAGACCGCGATTTTCTTGAATCAGATTGTGCAGATCTTGAACGTGATCTAGCAGCAGGTGATTTAGATTTAGATCTAGACTTACGTGAACCTGATCTAGATCTATTTTGTGCTGGAGATACAGATTTTTCTTTTGTATCTGCAGCATTTATTGATCCAGAGCGAGATCTACTTCTTCTGGTTTGTGATCTCGAACGTGATCTGGAATTTGATTGTCTTGATCCTCCTATGGAACAATAATAAGAACAAGGTGTCAAACTTGTCGAGAATAACAATTTTGAGACATTTTTTTGTGTGTGTGAAAATACTTTTTATTTTGTAGGGAGCAAATATTTTATTTTTTATATTTAAACATAGGACATAGGTTCGAATCCTAGTTAGGCCATGGATGTTTGTGTTTGTCTGCTTACCTAACCTCGCACAAGTTTCGACTTATGGGGCGTTTGGTCCAGTGCTGGGACCAACGAGGTAATGCAATTGCAAAAGAAAAACAGAGTGTGGATATTTCTGTTGAAACCAATTATTCTAATGATTTTCAATATTTTTCATGAAGGCAGAATGATACCAAGTAGTAAGGTTTTTGATTTGTCCACAATCAGTCCACAATTTGTCTATAATCAGCGAGAACTGTTTCATGAAACAACGTCACAGTGGCGCTAGCAAATTCGTGTTTAAGCTCTGTGTGAATATGGCAGGTCACCAATGACGTCAGCGAAATGTTGAAAGAGAGTGAACTTATCTTATGAATTTTTTTCTGAAGATAAATCTCAGGCGATGTAAATATAAAAAATATGTATGAAACGTCTTTCACAAACTTCCCCATTCTGAAAATCAGGTGCTTTTTCAACTTTTTCTGACCTGACCTGCCTCAAATAGTAGATGAAGCAATGAGTTTGTATGCAGATAATACCTCTTTGATTTTCAGCGAACCAACATCTGACTTATGTACAGGAAAAATTAACATATCTCTGAATACTTTAGAAACTTGGTTCACTAACAACAATCTTCTTTTAATTTATTGGCAAAACCCAGCTCATATATTTTGGTCAATTCAAACAACAATTTTACCATAACATACAAAAATAAAGATATTGTATCTGAATCATCTGTAACATTTCTAGGTGTAAACGTTGATCAGAGGTTGGACTGGAAAGAACAAATTGCGCAAACGTCTAGTAGTTTATCCGAGTATAGCTATGCCCTGAAAATTATTTCATCAAATATTAATAAAAATACTGCACTAATCGCATAGTATGCCTATGTACAATCACGAATTAGCTATGGAATAATCTTCTGGGTCCACTCTCAACGAATTCTAATTCTACAAAGGAGATGTATCAGAAATATATTTCGTTTAAATCGCAGAGATAGTTGCAAACATATTTTTATTGAAAACAAAATATTAACTACAATATGTATTTACATCCTAGAACCAACAACGTTCATGAAAATGAACTATGATAAATTTGAAGCCAGCACACCCGACCATACTTATAATACAAGAACAATAGGCATACTGACGACCGACATACCAAGATGTACATCTATCCAAAAAAACGTTGAGTACTCAATGAAAAAAATATGGAACAAATTACCTTTGCAATTGAAAATCCTAGAAACTGAAGCTTTAAAGACAAAGTTAAAACAGCTCTGTTTGGCAAAGCATACTATAATCTATATAGTTTTTTTGTGACCACCTTGATAAACAACCTATCCACATCATATTTTTACAATATTTCATAAATTAAGTAACTTGCAAAGTCCTCTTGAATTAGTGTTTATTTTTCTATTTACTGTCAAAATTTAACATTTTAAAGTGTTCTGTGTTAACAATTTAATGTTCTCTAATGTAGCTTGGAAGCTTAGTTAATAAATATTTTTCTGTCTTCATGAATAATCACCCATCCTCAGGCCCAGTTTGTGTACCGGGTGACACGTTATGAAGTACCACCCCCTGTAACTCTTTTAATTTTAACAGTAGAAGAAAACTGAAAAATAAACAGACTCACAGGGGATTTTTCCTCCTTCTCGAAACATAAGATACGTTTTCACTATCTGAAAACATATACAAGGAGCAACAAAATAGCATTCCAAAAATACCGCATTCAATACTTGTCTTCTTTATTTCCCAATTACAAAACTAACAGAGCTCGATCGATTTTTGAACGATTTTTGAGAAAACGGCATGCCAATGATTGCAAATTCAGGTATATTCGCTATCTATGACATTTATTTCTCCTTGGCGGTGATCACTGAAAATTAATATTGCAATTATTGGACAAGGCCTACTTTCGAAAATCATACGAAATCGATCCAACTTTGTTAGTTTTGAAAGCCTTTGTGGGGAGGCTGTAGCCAAGCAAGTAGGACCCGATGGCCCCCTTTTGCTAACCCCTGCTCTCCACATATACACACTTCCTTTACCTAGATTTCCTTTACGAATCTCCCTGACCTTCTAATGAAGGCGAGTATGCCCGTCCCCTCTAATATGATCAACTCCTGTTGGCGTTTGTCGACTTTGAATATATCGAACCTCAGCCTCCTATGCCTCGCACTAGCCGAGAAAATGGAGTGACATTTCCTCGTCTTCCCCACATCTGCGGCAAGTAGGGTTGTCCTCTATTCCCATAAGTGATAGGTGTCTGTCTAGCCTGTTGTGTCCTGTGAGTACTCCTATGAGGAGGCGGAGGCGATCTCAGCCAAGCAGCCAGTCCTTCTTTGATTTGCTCGGACCGGCCACGAATTCCTTGGCCTACCTACAACCTGTGATATTCCTCCAGTATTCTCCTAGTGCCTTGTCCACCCATTCATCAAGGGCTGACGTAGTTTGGCTCCTTGCTATACCTATTACGGGCTCCAGTCCCAGAAACGGCTCCCGGCAAGTTCGTCTGCTGTTTCGTTTCCGGGCATCCCACTGTGACCCGGGATCCATACCAGTTCAACTTCCTTTGATTCGGCTAATTTATCAAGGGTCATTTCCGCATTCCTATATTAATGCTGAGCTTGGTCTAGAATGATAGATAGCCTTGAGTACTGCCTAACTGTACGAACATATGTAGATCTTCTGCTCTGGCCCCAACCTCTTGCCTCTCTGCTACAACCAGGATGGAAAACACCTCAGCGTACTCAGATCATAGCTCACTCTCATGTTTCTCCCTTTGTGATGAATCCCTGCGCCTGAGGCCTGTTTGTCAGTCAGGCGGGATCCATCTGTGTAACATAGTAGGCTCCCTAGGTTAAACTCCACTATATTCCTTTTCCATTCTTCTCTGCTTGTAATAGTATGTTTGAACTTCCTATTCCATCTCAGCCTGTCCTGCACTTTATTCACTCTGAGAGTGGAGATAGGAATCTCCTGCTCCACCCACTTTGCTATTTTTGCATGACTTGTTATTGTTCCTAACCTAACTTCTAGGCTTCACAGACGTTTCCCAGCACTAGACTGGCCCGAAAGATCCTCCCCAATATTGGAGTCAGAAATTCCACGCCCATCTGAAGCAATGACGGAATTATTTCGTCTGGTCCTGCAGCCTTATATGGATTGAACTCGTTTACTGCCCACGCTATAGCATCGTCGGTAGCAACCCTGTCTGCTAGTTGCCAGTCAGTATGAGGGACCCGCTGTACTGGCGGAGCTTGCTGGTTGTCACCAACAACTATACCTCCAGTAAATGTCTGAGCGAATCTTTGGACGATGTCGTCCATGTACAGTTGTATTCAAAAAAAAAAGCGTACAAGTATATTAGAGAGAAAGCATTGGCTGAGCCAGTTTCACACAACTAGAAGTAGGATGAAGGGAACCTCTCTTTTTAATACTTGTACGCTTTTTTATTGTACCATCTGGTTTCCTCAGGGTTGTGATGGTACCTTCTGCCTCTTTGCTCAAAATACTTATGAGTCTAGTGGATTCTGTGAGGGAGTCAATCTTCCCACAGTACGTTCTCCAGCATGTTCTCTTACTCTTCTTCGGCTCCTTTTTGAATTCCCTTCTCGCGGTCTTATTCTCTTCTCGCGGTCTTATACTCGTCCCACGACCCCTCGTCGTCTGCTTCAATAGCTTTGTTGTGGGCCTTCTTGGTATTTTTCCTCAGATCCCTTAGTGTAAGATTCCACTAGTGCACTTGGTGCTTAGGAACAACAGCTCTTAATGGACAAGCCTCTTCAAATGCCTTTGTCATTGTCTCTCCTAGTATTTCTACTTCTTGGTCGAATTGTTCCCCCGTGCCGATTTCCGCCTGCGCCATCACGTACTTTGGGAGTCCTTCCAGGAAGGTCTCCCAGCTCTGGGGTTTCCGCATATATATTCCTTATTATTCGGTGGTCGGCCATTGAAATGTCTTTCCATATCCTCAAATCCTTTATGCTTCCTAGTATGTCTCTGGTCGTCAGCGGAACGTCAGTCACTTCCTGCCCGATTTGATTGACGAATGTTGGTTCCGTTCCTCTGTTTAGTATCTCTAAATTGGTTCACTAGATATTCGAGTAGCGCTTTAATTCACGCATTCACGTCCGTGCTACTCCACACCATGTTATGTGGATATGAGTAAATCATGACTCTATCCTGTGTACAGGTTTATCTAGAGTCACTGGATGGTATTAGTAGTATTAGTTAGATAAGAGTTCGGACACAGAAATGACAACTGTTGTGTTTTTGAATGTTTAGCTTTATTAAGTTACACACCTAGCATTGTGAAAAGAGCACAATAGTAATTTTATGAACATCAGAATTGAAATATAATTTTATAAAAAATTGAGAAAAAAGCATAAATGAAGATGTCCTGCTGTGTAATGAATTGTGGAAATATCTGAAGAGAATGGATTTCATTTATTCAATTCTCCAAAGGAAACATCAACATTCTCTTATGGAAGGAATGAATGAATATTTGGCCTGGATGGAAAATTAATTTGAAAACAAGCAAAATTTCTGAGGTACATACATTAAAATTCACTTCTTATAACAGCAGATTAGAATGAAAATATATTTCAGGCACATTTTCAAACAGGAGATTTTGAGATCCGTTTGTGAGAATCTGCTGTTTCATCCATTTACAAAACAGTCTATTCAAAAAATCTATTATCATCCCAGGAAATGCAAAACAAAATAATCATGGAGAGAAGAAATTGATTGCAAAACTATGGGTAATGAAATTGAAAAGTTGTAAAATCAAGTAAATTGCAATGTAATATATCATTGAATGACTTTTCCAATAGTGGAAAATCAAAACAATTAATAAAGGGTGTTCTCTACAAACGCTTTACAAAGTAGCCTTTGACGCTTTCAAATTCCAACACAAAGTTGACGTTTTCCCAGAAATGTCATTCTTTGACAGCATTTGCGCTCGTGAGCGGGAATATTGAAAAATCGCTCGCACATCTCTGTTCCTCGAGGCATATAACCTCCAGAAATTTAAGAACACCAATTCTTGGTTCTCACGATGTTCTCTGAACATTACAGGATATCCGTTCTCGTGGGAACCAGAACATAAAAACAAATTATTCTTGAAAACCCCCACTTCTTTCATGATGAAAAATAGTGACAGTGAACTATCAAACACACCTCCTGATATAGCAGGAAGCGCAAAAGTTTGAATCTCTTACCGGAGAAATCAAGGAAGAAATATGAATTACAATACGATACATTCATGAATTGGTGCCACTCCGAGAAGATGAATAAGTATTCAGAAAACGTTTCACTGGCTTATTTTGGTGAAAAGTCAAAGACTTTGAAGTCATCAACTCATTGGTCTATATATTCGATGGTACGTATACATGCTTGAATGTTAAATATAATATCGGAATCAATAAGTATCCGAAACTAATTCATCATTCGACGAGATCCAGTCCAAGCTGTTGGCTTTTTTATCTGTATTTGGGTTTAAACATTTAAAAATGAAATACTAGCTTACTGGCTTTTTCGTTGCCTAGACGATTTCTCAATTTAGATTGAACTATTCCAATACTCGAAAAAATTCTTTCTAAACCAGCTGTTGCCGCTACTGCACTGAATAACTGCTCACATAGTTGTAAGAAGAGTTCTTTTTTTGGCCATTCGGAGTCAGGAATTGCAACCGATTTCCACCAAATCATTGTATGCGTGAGGCCTGTTCGTTTGTATTGCTAAACTTGCTAAAGTTGATTCTTTTTCCATAGTTGTCTCTGTTCATGGCATGATGTAAACAAAGTAAGTCATAGAAAAAAATCGAGTTCAGCAGGTAGAGCAAGGACAAACGAACACGCCTGATGTACCATGTACCTAACAAGCAGTAAACAAAAACCGGGGATTCCCTGAGTTGTAAGTTATAACCACGAAACGCATTGTTGTCACGTATTCATTTTTAACGCAAAATATCAAGGACTTTTTGCTCCGGTATTTATTTTGTTAAAAAGAAGTAAATGATATATATCATGATATATATCAATCAATAAATATCAGATATGTGTCAATGTTGAAAGTGAATGAACAATTGGTGCAATTTTCAATATGAATATATGACGTTTCTATAACCACAGTTGCAATATAAAAAATGTTTGTCATGATGACAGCAAGTTAAAGTAGAATGACAGATGAGTGCAATAAAAACTTAATTGCACTAAGTGCAATAAAGAACTTCTTTTTCCACTAAATATAGTTCAATAAAGTTCTGCTTTTTGCATGAATGTAGAAAAAGAATATTACTTATAATATGTATGCATGTTAGTTCACGTGGAATCTTTGAACTCAATTTTGAAGTAGATAATTATCTTCAACCGATTGAGCTGAAATTTTGAATACACATTCAGTTTGGATGACAATGCACGATAAGGTGTGTGAAGTTATTCTAAATCTAATATGGCGGACCATCCAAGATGGTGGAATAGTTATATTTGATGCACTTCTACAATATGGGTGTCAAACAAAAGGGGTCGTTGGGAGTAACTCGAAAAATAATGTGACGTCATTCTGTATTCAATATGGCGGACCATCCAAGAGGGCGGAATAGTTATTTTTAATGCACTTCTACAATATGGGTATCAAATGAAAGGGCTCGTTGAGGGTTACTCGAAAAATAATGTGACGTCATTTTACATCCAATATGGCGGACCATCCAGGACGGCGTTATAGTTATTTCTAATGCACTTCTACAATATGGGTATCAAATGAAAGGGCTTGTTGAGAATAACTCGAAAAATAATGTTACGTCATTACAAATCCAATATGGCGGACTATCCAAGATGACGGAATAGTTATTTTTATTTCACTTCTAGTCACTCTCAGCTCATTGAGAGTAACTCAGAAAATAATGTAACATTATTCCAAATCCAATATGATGGAATAGTTGTTGTTGTTATTCATGCACTTCTGCAATATGGGTATCAAATGAAAGGGCTTGCCGAGAATAATTAGAAATAATGTAACATCACTCTAAATCCAATATGGCACACTTTTGGAGTTTTCTGGGCTTTCTTATAATGAAGGGGTTCGCTGATAATAAAAATGCTAGTTTTAAAAATTTGATTTTTGAGCCTGTGGCATTGATTGATTAACTTTGACCTAGCCAGTAAAAACTAAAAATTAAAAAATAAATTAAAAGTAAAAAAACATTTCAATAAAAAGCTTTTATTTAAATGCTCTAAAAAGAATAAAATAATATGTTACTTTATAATTATAACTATCAACTTATAACCTCATTATACACAAAAATGATCATAAAAGCTTGTAGTGATGATCAATATTTAATTAAATTGAAATTTTAAAAATGTAAACAGCTGATTTTACAAATTTAAATTAGTTTATTCACACAAGTAAATCATGTGACAAGCTTTTATGATCATATAAATTGTGTGTAATGAGGTTATAAGTTGATAGTTAAAATTATAGGGGAACATTTTATTTAACTCTTTTTAGAGCCTTTAAATAATCTTGTTATTATTTTTTTTTTACTTTTAATTTATTATAAATATAAAGTGTAAGGGTGTTAATTTGAACCCAATTTCTGTTTTCCATCTATGGCTATGATTGATTTGAAAGAAAATGTAACCTCTAAAATGCTATCTGAAAATCTGGCGCTACTAGGAAAATTGAAGAAAAAGAACAGAATATATTATGTCTTATTCTTTCATTCACTCAAACCATTGGTAATATAGAAAATAGAAAAGGATAGAAAAGGCCCAGCCCTATATTTACCTCATTTTTTTATCAAGAAAAAAACAATGAGCAGAAGTTGAATGCTGCAATGAGGACTTTCCACAGCCTTCATCAAAAGTTTCACAGGGTGATACCTGAAAGCATGACAAACCACAAATTATTTTTTTCAATCTAACACTGTTTTTTATATTTTTTTCAGAATCTGTGGTTTTTAGTGATCACAGAAATTTATATATATATAGTATATCCTCGAGTATATCATTTATTTTTACTTCATTATCCCCACTTTTTTTACCACAGAAAAACGTTTTTTTCTACATATATTGTGTTAGCCAAGAATGAGCATATATTTGACAGTTGTATATTGCATAATTGAATCCATTCCCAAACTGACCTAGTGATCACCAATTACTCAGACAAAAATTGTTTTTCTTGGCTCAAAAGAGTGGTGGTTAAGAGGTGAAAATAGTAGATATCACCCTGTACATATATTTTTTTGTGATCACAAAAATTCAGATTCTGAAAAAAATGTAAAATCCTCCTTAAAAAAATAATATGTTGGTTTTTCACGCTTTTAGGAATCACCCTGTATAACTTCTGATAAAGCCTCATGGGGGAATTCAACTTCCACTTTTTTTATTTCAGTGGAAAAACAACATTAATGTAGGGCTGGGACCTCTTGATGGATAACCCTGTACATGGAAAACATCAATTATGATGAGAAAAGATGATGATGATGATATTGTTCCCCTGCTACTTGTGGTTTATGTTGAGTGAAATTTTTTTGTAATATCTTTGAGATATCCAACTCTCCTGACTAAACATATTTGTGAATTAGTCACATCAATATATACCTAGTTACATGAGTTAAAGAATTAACATACCTGATGGAGACCTAGATACTCCAGACTTCTGAGAATGTCTAGATCCACCTGAAGGAGATCGTGATCTAGAGGCTCTAGAACCAACCCTACTGTGAGATCTAGATCGAGACTCCCGTGAAGGTGATCGAGATTTTCTTCTTCCTGATACATCACCATCATTGGTTGCTGTAGGACTTCCAGAACGAGATCTGCTCCTACTAGATTTGTTGGAAGCAGCTGATGAAGAACGAGATTTGGGGCTTCCCGATTCATTAGTTGATTTTTTATCATTTCTTTGATCAAAACCTTCTGGAATAGTGATTATTAGTAGTATAATAATTATGTATAAATCTCAGTATACAATCAAATGTTTCACATCACTTGCATACCTGTTTCAATTTCCATGTTCAAAACTTATTAGGTACTGCCAATAGTTTATGTTCAGCAAACTGCTCAACCCAATAAAATTATGTGCATAAATATATTGAAAGTTCTTGTTTTTCACTTTTTACTAAGGTTTTTACGTCTATTTTCCCTGAATATGAAGTTTTGATTTTTGATTATATTTCTTTTTTCTTATGATTTATATCATGTCAACTGTCAACCTTGAACATTGACTGTTTGCAAAATGCTATGCAAAGACAAGAAACCAAATTCAAACAACCATGTCTTTCGGCACTTTGGTTTGGGGTTTGGGTATACAAAATACAAACTGGTTAAAAAAGTTAAAACCAAGGAAACCCTGAGGCATAGTACAATCCTATCAAACTGTGCCTGAGCACAGTATATTATCATCAGTAATATACTGTGTCATCATCAATGATGACATACTGTGACCTGAGGGATCCCAAAGCTTCCAAGATTAGTGTGGATCGCAGCAGTAAACTGTCGCTGATTACTGGCGCTGCTACTGGCGTTGATGGTTGTCGCTACCACTGACAGAACTACTTTTATTTGTCATATTTTGGAACTATTTCAGCAACCCAAAAATCTCATCCAAATTGCTCGCCAGGGGCTCTATTCTCAAACGGTAAGATATTTTGTCGCATGTGAGATTTCTTCATTGTCGAACAAAAACAGGAGAGCTCTCTCTCTCGAATGACGCATTCGAAAATGTTCGAAGGACACTAATTGTAGAGTAGTCTTCGTCAGTCAGTCAGTCGACAATTTCATGTCGGAGGAAAATCAAGAAAATCACAAACAGCCATGCGAGAGGCGAGGAATATATAAGAATGCTTTCGAATGTGAAAGGGCTTATTGCACTGTTAGGGGTCTATTCAGTAACTTATCGTTAGAAAACGATATCGTTACGTTAACGTAACATTGGCCAACGACATTTTGAACGATAAATCCTCGAAGCAGATTCAGAATCGATGTCGTTAGAGAAAAAACAGAATGTTGATGTTTTGTGGCTAAAAATCTCTGGAACGTTTGTCTGTTCTCATTTCTCGAAAGTTTTAGGTTATTTCCGTTCAACGATTCAGAAAACAAAAAAATAATATTCTCCTGCTTTTTTATCCAATCATTATCCAACCTATACATTTGGCAAAGTAGCACATCTCATCTGGTACTTACTATATTAACTCGATGGGCTGTTACTTTTAGTAGATCACTTGTAGATATTCCTTGCTTACTTCTGTTCAGTGATATTCATTCATTCTGAACTAACTGACAAATTTCACTTGAACTGAACTGAATCCAGTTGAAATACATTATACATAATGAGCGTCATTCGAAAGAACGAGTCAGTTCAGTTCTAGTGAAATATTTCAGTTAGTTCAGATTGAAAGAATATAACTATTGTTGTTGCCTAATTTCAAGGATCTATTATGATAATATTATCCCAGTATGTTATTTTTATAATTTAATCACATGTAGGTATGATGAATAGATTAGAATAATGAAGAATTCACCTATGTACTATATTTTTTCTCCAACTATTTCTACTAGTGCTCGCTATGGCTACCTATTTGTTATTAATTCAATAATCAGCAAACCAATATCTTCTCATATCCACCATTTCATATTATAAATTTCCATGTAATATGATGATATGTCATCTTCACTTGACGCCAATAAGACGCCAAAATTATAATGTCTCAAAGACAGCTCAATTGACGTCGTCAACAAACGACAAGTTTTATCATACGGTACGACCATCGTTAGCTACAGATTTAACAAATATCGTTCCGTAACGATTATTGTTCGCTAACGAATCTAACGATGTCGTTAAGCTTAAAGAATCACCATTGAATCATTATAAAGGGCGCCGTACACCAGCAAGTTCGATGCAATGCAATTTTGAATCGAACAATGCGCATGCGTCCATGATATTTCACGGCAAGTTTCATGCAAGTTTCGTAATAGAACCAGTAAAATTTTTAGCAATATTCATCGTAGCATCTTGATAAAATACAAATTTTCTCCATAACGTGGCCTGAAACACCAAATGACCTCAAAAAGTCCATTGAAGGCTAAAAAACCTGAAAATAGTGAATATGAACAAGAAAATATGACAGAAATATCTCAATGTACGGCGACTCGCAATAAATTGAGGAAATTGCGAGAAAATTGCATTGCCTCAAACTTGCCGAGAAATAGCATAATGTACGGCGCCCTTAAAATGCAGCAGTAGCCTAGCCTAGCAGCCAACAGCGGCAGCGCCAATGCCAACCTCCTGCTGCCGCGATCCCATTTGTGACAGGTGACCAATCTGTCTATTTGCTTCTTCTTTTTTTCACTCAGACATTTGCTTTTGTCTGCTAACTGCTTGCCTCTTCTTCTTATTTTTTCCTTTTTCTTCACCAGTTTGGACGTTGTTTTTTGAGGTTATGGAAAATTAAAGCAACCTTCAAACCTTCTGTTTCTATCTTTTCTAGTCTTTCTAGTTTCAAGATTTCATCATCTATAATTTTATTAGCTATCAGGTCTTATCAATAAAATTATCTGATAAACTTTTGTTACAAATAAACAAGGTCTGATTTACAGCTACTATTCACTCCATTCAAAAACCAAAAAATGGTGGACAAAAATATTTCTGCAGATAATTCAGACAAAGCTGAAAGTAAAAAAGCTGCGAAGAAGGAAGCCAAAAAGGCGGAGAAAGCTTCCAAGAGGGCTGAACATAAGCAAACTACAGTTCAGTTGGATACACCAGAAGAAGGTGCATAGTTTCAAAATAAGAACAAAAACTAATTAATAAACTTGCAATGTCCTGTGTTCATTTCAGGTGATGTTTCTCTAGGAAAGTATGGCAATCTTCCACTTATTCGTTCTGAATCAAACTCTACCAGAGTTGCTTCCTATGTAAAAGACTTGAATAAATCAGTTTCTGGACAAACAGTTTGGGTCAGAGCAAGACTTCACACTGTCAGGGCTAGAGGAAAACAATGTTTCATTGTTCTCCGGCAAAGAGAATTTACTATTCAAGTGCTTATAAATGTTTCAGAATCTGTTTCTAAGTCAATGGTGAAGTTTTCTAGTGGGTAATTATTCCATTTCCTCACCTTTGGAACATTCTTTAGAACTAAAATTGTATTTTCTAGTATTCCAAAAGAGAGCATTATTGATGTGGAAGCAAGGGTGGCTGAAGTACCTGCTGGTGTAGCAGGCTGTAGTCAACAAGATGTTGAATTGGTTGCTTCCCAAATCTGGGTAGTGTCTCTGTCAGCACCTCAACTTCCTCTGCAAATTGAAGATGCCAGCAGACCTGAGAAATCTGAAGTTAGTTTGAAATATGCAAGGTGTACTAAATAAGGCTTTCTAAATATATTTTTTTTAGGATGAAGAGGGGCTCAACATTCATGTCAATCAGGACACAAGATTAGACAACAGAATACTAGATTTAAGGACACCAACTAACCAAGCAATTTATAGATTAGAAGCAGGAGTATGCCGTTTTTTCAGGGAATGTCTTATGAAAAGAGACTTTGTAGAAATACACACCCCAAAAATCATACCTGCTGCTTCTGAAGGTGGTGCAAATGTATTTACAGTGAGTTATTTCAAGGGTTCTGCATATCTGGCCCAGAGTCCTCAGTTGTACAAGCAGATGGCCATTGCTGCTGATTTTGAAAAAGTTTTCACAATAGGTGCAGTTTTCAGAGCAGAGGACTCCAATACCCATAGGCATCTGACAGAATTCACTGGGCTGGATTTGGAAATGGCTTTCCAGTTCCATTACCATGAAGTTATGTTGACTATTGGAGATTTGTTTACTGAAATGTTCAAAGGGTTAAGAGAGCAGTAAGTAGTCTATCTAGACTGGTTTTTGAATACATAATTTCTTATGGTACAAAATTACCTAATATTGAAACAAACAGGAAATGATTCAATGTTGATGGGAAAATATGTTGATCAGTTCTGGAACTGAGAATGTATTCTTCATTATCATGAGAATTAAATCAAAAATGTTATATGGGTTCATCTAAAATCCTGATTAATATTTCATCAGTCATGTTCATGTATGAAGATTCTTTCAGATTTTTTAAGATTCTTGATAAATGGATTTTTCACAATAGGGAGCTTGAATCAACATTTCTTGTTGAATTTCTTATATGGTTCAGAATGAAAAGTCAGCATGCCCAAAAGAAATTTCATCAATCATCATATTCATCAATTCATAAGCAAATGAAATAATCAATAATTTAAGTCATCAATTTTAACATGGATTTGATTTTGTGACATCACTATCACCTGCTTAAAATTGTGACTCTGGTAAAAAGATATTGGTGAGTAAAATAAACAGGACAAAAATTATATCCCCAAAGGACAAAATATGTGTTTGATGCCATGATGTCACCTCTTGGGCCTTCTTGCATCAGTAGACAAAATTCTGATATTTATTTAAAAAATGGCAAGTGATCAATCTTGTATTAATTTCCGGTATCCATTTTCCATAAGTTGTGACAAATTTTTTCATGCACTTTTTTTCATGAGATATGAGGAGGAATCACCCCCTGAATTTTTTCACACTTATCCATTCATGACTTGCTAAATTTATTTATTTACTGTGGAGAGGAGTATTAATAATTTCAGAAGTCGAAAAGCAAGTGTTTATTTCCAACATTGATATCGAGAACGAGCAGGCCCGTATCCCTTTTTATAAATATAAAAAGTGGGTTTCCTAGCCGTAGTAAAAACATTCATGAATATAAATATATCTTCCTTTATATACCATGTGATACAAATACGTCCTCGATATATTATCTACAGTGTGATACAAATAATTTGTCAAGATATTACACTTTCCCTTCTTCATTGAAAAAACAATACAAAAATATATTTATTATCTATATAATATACCTATTAAGAAAAGATAAGTTTGTACTATTGCTATTATTTATTTTCCTGCAAACATTCACATAATACCTCAAAAATCATGAACTATATATAACGGATAATATCGGACCGTATGAATAATAGATATTTAACAAACAAACTAAACTACCATCCTGAAAACTAAAAATGTTAGGTACTAACACCACTTCTTAATTTCTTGGTCTCAAAAAATATCGACTATTATTAGTATCAGTGGAAGGGTTTATTGAAGACACTTCCGCGTTATTACTTATGTCACTAGTCGAAGGCAGGTTATCAGTTAATTCCGGACTTGTTAGGCTACCATCATTGCTATGACTATTGCTTTCATTGATAACCGCATTATTCTCGGTATGATCCTCGACTGCAAATTCGAGAGAATTTCTCATCCCTGATGTTCTTAATGGTCGAATTTGATTCGAATGTCTCCTGTATTCTTTTCCTTCAGGAGTTTTTATGCCAAATATCACTGAACCCTCTCTATTAACTATTTTTCCCTGTGTCCACGTTGGATTAGTTGGATTATGAAAATCTCTAAAGAGAACCTTTTCCTCTAGTTGAAAATCTTTAATGTTTTTTCCTCCGAAATTCTCCACCTGTTTCTCTACTTTTTTTTCTACTATATTTTTACTATTTGGTATCAATAAATCTAATTTATTTCTCAAATTTCGGTTGAACATTTTTTTTGCAGGGCTTTCTCCCGTGGTGGCATGAGGAGTGTTGCGGTAGTCGAATAGAAATTTTATCAAAAATTCATCAGAGTTTTTGTTTTCAAAAACAGCTTTTTTTAACGCTAATTTGAAAATTTTTACTGAATTCTCAGCTTGCCCATTACTCTGTGCATGCTTGGGAGTACTGAAAAGTTGCCTAATTCCATTTGATTTGAGAAAATTACTAAAATCGTGTGAAGCAAAAGGGGGACCATTATCTGAGACTATTTTAGTGGGTAAACCAAAACGAGAAAATAGTTCTTGTAGGATAACTATAATGTTTCTAGCATTAGAATTATTCGTTTTATAAACCTCCGGCCATTTTGTGAACGAATCAATTATTATGAGATATTTATTTCCAAAAAGAGGCCCTAAGAAATCTAGATGTAATCTGCTCCATGGGGCATTTTCGTAAGGCCATGGATGTAAAATCGTTTTTTCCGGATTACTTCTAACATGATTGCATGCGTCACATTTCTTGCACATGTCTTCAATTTGCCTATCTAAAAGAGGCCACCAAAAATAAGAGCGTGCCATAGCCTTACATCTGCTTACCCCCATATGAGTTAAATGCAATTCTTTCAAAAGGTAAGATTGTAATTTTTGGGGTATAACTACTCTATAGCCCCATAAGATGCATCCGTGTTCTAAATGCAATTGATCCCGCTTATTAAAAAAATGTTTGAATTGTTCCGACACTGTCTCAGGCCAACCCTTCAGACAAAAACCATAGATTCTGTTTAACATGGCATCTTTCTTGGTATAGAATGCCACTTGTCGATAATCAATTGGTAAATTTTCCTCTATATAAAATATATGTGAATAGTCATGTTTCTCTTCGTCGACTGTACTCAATGGTAATCGAGACATAGCATCAGCATAATTTTTTTTAGATTCAATATATTTTATTGCATAATTGTAGGTACTTAAAATAATTCCCCATCTCTGCAAGCGATTTGCTGCATAAATGGGTATGCCTTTTTTTTCTCCAAAAATAGAAATCAATGCCTTATGATCACACAATAACGTAAAAAATCTTCCGTACAAAAAATCGTGAAATTTCTTAACACAAAAAATTATGGCACAAGCCTCTTTATCCAATTGACTATATGCCTTTTCAGTGTTCGATAAGGTTCTGGATGCATATGCAATTGGTTTGACATCACCATTGGGGTAAACATGTGAAATAACACCACCAATAGCATAGAAACTTGCATCACATGCTAACGTTACAGGTAACTCTTGATCATAATGTACTAGTAATTTGCTTGATGTCAATTCTAATTTAATTAATTTGAAACATTTATTTTGTTCATTTCCCCAATTCCATTTGTTATCTTTTTTTAATAACAAAAATAATGGGTATAATTTCTCACTTAAATTCTCGATGAATTTTCCATAAAAATTGACTAAACCTAAAAAAGATTTTAGTTCGGTGATATTTGAGGGAACCGGTGCTTTCAAAATGGCCTGAATTTTTTCTTGAGATGTGGATAAACCTTGTTTATCAATAGTGTATCCTAAAAAAGTTATTTTCTCCTGAAAGAAAGAACATTTATTCAATTTCACGCGAAATCCACAATCCTGTAATTTTTCAAAAACGTTGTATAAATTATTCAAATGATCTGCCACCGATTTGCCAGTGATCAACAAATCATCCAGAAAAATGGCTACATTTTCAATGTTTGCAAAAGTTGTATCAATTATTCTCTGAAAAATACCTGGACTCGATGATACACCAAAGGGAAGTCGGTTTATTTGAAACAAACCTCTGTGAGTGTTAAGTGTGACTAATTTTTTCGAATCCTCCGCTAATTCTATTTGTGCGTACGCCTGAGATAAATCAATTTTACTGAAATATTTGCCATTATTTAGTGCTGCAAATAAATGTTCTATCTTCGGAATGGGATAACGATCAACGTGCAAATTAGGATTTAAGGTGACTTTGAAATCCCCACAAATCCTAACCTCACCGTCTTTTTTTTTTAGGACGGGCACGATGGGAGTTGCCCATTCACTATATTCTACGGGTTGTAAAATATTACATTCGACCAATCTAATCAATTCGTTATCAACTTTTTCTTTGAGCGCTATGGCAATGTTAAGTGCTTTACAAAAAATGGGACGAGCTCCTTCTTTGAGGTGTGATTTAGCTGTACCTTTATTAAATTTACCCAGCTCTACTTTGAAAACATCTGGGAATTTGGATTGTAATAACTTGGGTACTTTTGGAATGTCAATTTCTTCCATATTATTGAAGAATAATAAATTATCAATGGAAATATTCAATTTTTTTATCCAATCTCTGCCCAGCAATGGAGGACCACCATTTATTATCACATATAATTTTAATTTGTTTACTGACAAACCATTATACGAACCCGTGACATAAATAAAGCCTAAGATACTCAATAAATTACCAGTATAGGATTTCAAATTCAAATCAGATTTTTCCAAAAAAAATTTACCAAATTTTTGTTCATACATTTGTTGTGAGATTGCAGCAATAGGTGACCCTGTATCGCATTCCATACTTAACTGTAAATCATCTACACATACGTCGACTTTGATTGGTTTTTCATTTTTAGATCTTATATTGAACATGTCTAAACTATCTTCAGAATCATATTTATGTTCGTCAGTTTCAGAAGAGAAAAACATATTATTTACCTTACTAGAATTTTTTTTTAAACCTTTTTTACTTTTACAAATGGTGCTGATATGACCTCTTCCTCCGCACCCATTACATTTAGCATTCTTGAAAAAACAGATACTGCTTCCATGATTTCTTTTCCCGCAATGCATGCAAGGAGATCCAGACTGATTGGAGGACCCTGGTGATGAATTATCCGTTTTATTGTACGATGAACTTAGTTTATGTACTGTCGTCGGTTCGATCATTCCAGAATTTCTCTCGGCAGCTTCCAAATTGACAGCTAAATCATGTGCTCTAGCATAAGTCAAATTTTTTTCTGCAAAAAGTCGTTGACGTATGGAGTCACTAGCTAAGCCAAAAACTAGTTGATCCCTAAGCTGATCTTCTAAATTTACAGCAAATTTGCAATTTTTGGCTAACTTCTTCAGGGCTACTACATACATTGAAATCGACTCACCCACTTCTTGTTTCCGTTGTCGAAATTGATATCTTTCCGCAATTTCGGATGGAATAGGTTGTAGATGGTTGGTTAAAATATCAACTAGATCTCTGTATGATTTTTCTTCAGGTTTACTTGGACTGCACAAATCGATCATTAAATCGAGAGTTTCCATTCCGACCGCGGTGATTAGTGTAGCGGTCTTCAATTCTTCCGACACTTTGTTGGCTTTAAAGTATTGTTCCATTCGTAATACATACGTGTTCCAATTCTTATCACCCATTTTGAATTCTTCCAGTCTCCCAATCGACATTGTAGATTCGATTTATTTCGACTGCGCCAGTGTAATGACTTGCTAAATTTATTTATTTACTGTGGAGAGGAGTATTAATAATTTCAGAAGTCGAAAAGCAAGTGTTTATTTCCAACATTGATATCGAGAACGAGCAGGCCCGTATCCCTTTTTATAAATATAAAAAGTGGGTTTCCTAGCCGTAGTAAAAACATTCATGAATATAAATATATCTTCCTTTATATACCATGTGATACAAATACGTCCTCGATATATTATCTACAGTGTGATACAAATAATTTGTCAAGATATTACAGGTTCCTTCTATTATGTTTTATTCAACGACAGGACTCTCACATCTTTTTGATAACTTGACTATAATTGGTGACCTGACAACCTTGCTTCATGAGTGGAAATGGAAGATTATCTGACCAATAATGAAACAGCATGAAAGCTCGCCCATTCCCCGAGAACCATTGATTTTCAGTTCAACAAGTTTATTTTCATTCAGTTTTTTTGCTGGTACAGTTCAATTCACAGTCAATCATTTATTTTTAATGTCTACTGCATTTTTTGTTGTATTGTTTTCCAAAATGTTTGACATAACCTACGAGTATCAAATTATAGTTACCAGCAACTACACCCTCATGGAATATCCATCTTCTGTCAACAATATCTCGCCGGAGCATTCACCTTCGTGGACTTCTCATTTCCCACATTTCCTTCTCTGTTGCACAGCTTGATTCACAGTCATTCATTTTCTGCGCGAACGAATTTTTTCTTGTTCTTTCTTTGTCACAACCTATAAGTATCAGTATCAATTTATAGATACCAGTATAAACATTACCTCGCCGAACCATTCACGTTCTTGGACCCACCTCTCGTCCAATGACGCTCGAGAATTTCTCGCCGAAGTGGATGTCGATGTAGGCGAAGAAGAAGACTTTAGCACCCCAACGGAAAAACTGCTAGGCCGTCTGGTGAAAGCCTTCGTTCGCCTTGACATAATTATGAGTATCAGTCGATCAACAATTCCCCGCGAACTATTCACTTTCTTCATTCTGGCAAATTCAATGAGTTTATTTTCACTCAGTTTTCCCCTACTAGACTTTGTTTCAATATAATTCATTTATTTTTTGGGTCTACTTATTTTTTTCAATTTTCGGTGTATTGTCAACCAACAATGTTAACTTTTTTGGAACCTCTCTCATTCTCACATGTTAATTTTTCCTTATTTCCTTTGCTGCTGCACAGCTTCTTTCACAGTCATTTATTTTTTGGCCGATATCTTTTCTGTTGTTTCTGTTCTGTTGCCATAGCCGGTAAGTATCAATAGTTGCATAATTTATAGATACCAGCATGAAATATCCATCATCAATCGACAATATCCTGCCTAAACATTGACTTTTTTGAAACCTCTCATTCTTACAAGTATCTTTTTTATTATTTCCTTTACTGCTGTACAGCCTGTTTCACGTTTCACAGTCATTTATTTTTTGCGCTGATGTCTTTTTTGTTGTTTTTTTTTTGGTCATAACTCATATAAGTAATAAATTTATAGATACCAGCATGAAATATCAATCAATAATCAACAATATCCTGCCTAAACATTAACTTTTTTGAAACCTCTCATTCTCACAAGTATATTTTTTATTATTTCCTTTGCTGCTGCAAAGCTTGTTTCACGTTTCACAGTCATTTTTTGCGCCTACGTCTTTTTTGTTTTTATCTTTTTTTCGTTATAACCTATATAAGTATAAATTTATAGATACCAGCATGAAATATCAATCATCAATCAACATTACCCCGCCGAACCAACTTTTTTGGACCCCCCTCTCGTTCTCGAGTTCAATGACGCTCGAAAATTGCTCGCCGAAGTTGGCGTCGATGTAGTCGAAGAAGAAGACTTCAGCACCCCAACGGAAAAACTGCTAGGCCTCCGTTTGCCTTGACATAATAATTATGAGTATCAGTCGATCAACAATTCCCCGCGAACCATTCACTTTCTTCGTTCTCGCAAATTCAAGTTTATTTTCACTCATTTTTCTTCCTACTAGAGTTTGTTTCAATATAATTCATTTATTTTTTTCGTCTACTTAAATTTTCCAATTTTCGGTGTATTGTCTACCAACAATATCCCGCCTAACCGTTCACCTTTTTGGAACCCCTTTCATTCCCACAAGTTCATTTTTTTTATTACCTTTGCTGCTGCACAGCTTGTTTCACAGTGATTTATTTTTTGGCCTGATATATTTTCTGTTGTGTTTTTGTCATAGCTTATAAGTATCAATTTATAGATACCAGCATGAAATATCCATCAATAATCAACAATATCCTGCCTAAACATTAACTTTTTTGAAACCTCTCATTCTTACAAGTATCTTTTTTATTTTTTCCTTTACTGCTGCACAGCCTGTTTCACGTTTCACAGTCATTTATTTTTTGCACCGATGTCTTTTTTGTTGTTTTTTCGTCATAACTTATATAAGTAATAAATTTATAGATACCAGCATGAAATATCAATCATCAATCAACAATACCCCGCCGAACCATTCACTTTTTTGGACCCCCCTCTCGTTCTCGAGTTCAATGACGCTCGAAAATTGCTCGCCGAAGTTGGCGTCGATGTAGGCGAAGAAGAAGACTTCAGCACTCCAACGGAAAAACTTTTGGGACGTCTGGTGAAGGCCAAGTACGACACCGATTTCTACATCTTGGACAAGTTTCCTCTGGCCGTGCGGCCTTTCTACACGATGCCCGATCCTCGTAATCCGAAAGCGTCCAACTCTTATGATATGTTTATGAGAGGGGAAGAAATTTTGAGCGGTGCCCAGCGTATTCACGATCCCGAATTTCTGACTCAGAGGGCCAAACACCATGGAATCGGTATGTTCCAATGCTCCCCTATGAAAATTCATTATTATAACTAATTTCTGATCTGTTATTGATTATCAAGACTCTTGACGAGACACATTTTTTCCATACAACTGTCGAATAAAAGTACACTTTTTCCCTAGACTATTTACAATAACAACACTAGATGTACCATCCTCATGAGAGCAATGCATACAAGAATTATATTCAGTAGGTGGCGGTGTCTATGAGCGCCAAAGTGAACAACCTTTTGTTGAGTAGCGAAGGTACGGTAATCTATACTAATTTTATAAAGAGGAAAGATTTGATTGTGTGTTTGTTTGTTTATATGTATTGAATAGGCTCCGAAACTACGGGATCGATTTGGCTGAAAATTGGTGGGGAGGTAGCTCAGAACTAGGAGACGGTTATAGGATGCTTTTTATCCCGGTACCATTAGGAAATTCAAGATGGCGGATCTAATATACAGTGTCATTCATAAAGTCGGCATTATACGGGAAAAACCTTTATTAATGACTTATTTTGGAATTCGAGTTGGACGTTGAGTTTTGCTTCAAAAAAGATGCAAAACGGCCTACTCAATCGGGGTCACGTGACTTTCGCTACATGTCAAAAGTGACATTTTTTCAAATTAATCGCTGAAAGTAGGCTTATTTGTTCGAATATCGAAAAAGTTTAATTGAAAAAGTTGTTTCTATTTAAATTTTACACATGCCTCTCGAATTTGATATTTCTATTGCAACTTTTAGATTTTGATTTTTTTTTAAATTTTTCGAAATTTCTGTAATATTTGAAGAATTGTTAATTCCACGAAACTATTTCATACCAGTAGCTTTTTCATGCTATTTACTTCCAATTACTCATTATCACTGATTATGGACAGAAATATGATTTTCTTCAGAAAATGATAATATGTACCCGCTTCCAAATTCTGTTATGTTTGATGCAAAATTGATATATTGTCAAGCATTTAGAAACGACATTCATTTAAACTGATATTTTCAGTACTGAAAAAATGAATTTAAATGAATTTCGTTTCTAAATGCTTGACTCAAACATAACAGAATTTTGATGTTGTGTTTGCATCAAGCATAACAGAATTTTGAAGCGGAGATTATCATTTTCTGAAGAAAATAATATTTTTGTCGATAATTAGTGATAATTAGTAATCAAAAGTAAGTAGCATGATAAAGCTACTGGTATGGAGTAGTTTTATCGAATTTACAATTTTTTTAATATTACAGATATTTCGAAATTTTTTAAAAAATATCGAAATCTAAAAAATGTGATAGAAAGATGAAATCCGAGTCACATATGTAAAATTTAAATGGAAACAACTTTTTCAAGTGAAATTTTTCGATATTCGAACAAATAAGCCTACTTTCAGCGATTATTTTGAGAAAATGTCACTTTTGACATGTAGCGAAAGTCACGTGACTCCGATTGAGTAGGCCATTTTTCATCTTGTTTGAAGCAAAACTTAACGTCCAACTCGAATTTCAAAATAAGTCATTGATAAAAGTTTTTCCCATATGATGCCGACTTTATGAATGACACTGTATATCGGACGAGTTTTGTAATTATGGTCCGTTTCTATTCAAAATTGGTATCAGGGGGTTTTCGGGGTCAGAGATTATGATTCTTTCGTCAGAATTTGAAAATTCGGGTGGAATTTGGAAATTCAAGATGGCGGAACCAATATGACGGACGAGTTTTGTAATTATAATACAATTCTTTTCAAAAATGGTACCTTGGGGTTTTCGTGATCGGGGCTTATGATTCCTTCGTCAAAATTAAGAAATTCAAGATGGCGGATTTTGTAATTAGGATCCGATTTTATTCAAATTTGGTATCTGGTGGTTCTCGTGGTCGGAGATTATGATTCTTTCGCCAAAATTAGGAAATTGGTGCATATGGTGATATGGCGGACGAGTGTTGTAATTATGATCCGACTCTCTTCAAAATTGTTATCTGGGTGTTTTCGGGGTCGGAGATTATGATTTTTTTGTAGAAATTTGGAAAAGGCAGGATTTGGACATTCAAGACGGTGGAACCAATATACCGGACGAGTTTTGTAATTATATACCGATTCTTTTCAAAATTTGTAAGTGGGCGTTTTCGGGATCAAAAATTTTGATTCTTTCGTCAAAATTAGGGAATTCAAGTGAACTAAAGAGAAGTTGAAATAAATGGTAGTTTGAAAAACTAAATAAACACGCTTTCATAGATAGCGAAACTAAAAAAAAGTAGAAAATAAAATAATAATAGTGTCTTGATGAATATTATTGAAGTGAAAAAATATATTATAGAAATAATGTATATAGCAAAACAACGTTTGCGAGGTCTGCTAGTGCAGAATATATTCGAACTTTATTCTTAGATGTTTTTATGCAAGAATAAGGAATGTCGCATCAGAGCCGGATTCAAATATTTTCACATGAAAGCCTTCAGCATATAAAGGTTAGTGGTTTTCCTGCTTCAGAGAGAAGGATATTCCTGGATAGTTCAGCCAACTTGCTGAAAGATTCCGAGAGTATTATTTTGCCGAGTTTTGCTAGCGCCGCCTACGAATCACTCATAGTTCATCTTGTTAGTGTAAAAAATAATCAACATTTTCTCAGCTAGCCAGATGATGAATGAACGTTTGGAACTAATTTTGAGGTATAATTCTATTCAAAATTGGTATCTGGGGGTTTCCGGAGTCGGAGATTATGATACTTTCGTCAAAATTTGGAAATTCAAGATGACGGATCCGATATGGCGGACGACTTTTGTAATTATGGTCAGATTCTATCAAAATTGGTATCTTGGGGTTTTCGAAGTCGGAGATTATGATTCCTTCGTCAAAATTAGGAAATTCTAAATGGCGGACGAGTTTTTTAATTATGATCAGATTCTATTCGAAATTGGTATCTGTGGGTTTTCGGGGTCAGAGATTATGATTCTTTCATCAAAATTTGGAAATCCAAGATGGCAGATCCAATATGACGGACGAGTTTTGTAACTATGATCCGCGATTCCATTCAAAATTTGTATCTGGGAGATTTTTGGGTCGGAGATTATGAAAAACTATAATGAAACACGCTTTTATATATGGATAGCCAAACTCGAGGCCAAACTGAATAGAAGTAGAAAATTGATAGTATAGTTCGAAAAACCAGATAGATTGTCGAACTGATCTTCGAATTTCTAAGCCTTACAAGCATCGAAATGTCATTGTATTCGGGCCACAGCCAACTTCATGTATTTCGATAAAATGCAATTTGACAGCCAATTAATGAACGAATATCAAATTGTGATACATAGTTGAATTGAGAATTCAAGACAAATAAGATAAGCTACGCTACAGAAATATACAGGGTGCCGTTTGAAAAATAAAAGTTGGGTCTACTTCCGATCAAACAGGTGGTTGAAGAAAATTGTCATTGAGTTCAGGGAAAGCGCCATCATCGATAATATAACCTTAATGAATTTCAAATTTTCATCTCTTCAAATAAAAAAACTACAGGCTGTTACATGTCTCCTGTGTCACCCGGTATTATAACCAATTCATAGGTCTCTCATTGAGGATGTTTTAACGGATCTTGAAGCTATATTAATTAGTTCTGACCTTATTTTTCACAAATATGAGTGTTCAAGGTAATTTTAATGAATTCTTATAGTTGAATTAGTTCTCTACAGATTTCGTGAATAATGTTCTCAAGGATTAACTTTTTTCTGCTGTCATACGTGTATGACCATGGAGTTGTTTCTGTGGAATTCATTATTCAAGATCCATACCTGACTTAACAATTATTATTCTTGTAATATCTAGGGTCCCTTGATGCAAACTGACGTATTTGTCATCTAACAGGGTACGGACAGATCATGGCTCCTTTCTCTTTTAATCATCCAGTGTCTTTGGTTTCGTGTATTGGCGTCCCTGATATGACATTGCTGTCACGTCACATTCATAGGCGTTAAAAGAGATCCTACAAAATCAGCTTTCCATCAAATGCAATGAACTTAGAACATGGAAAGTGAAGTGACCGAATGGGGAAAATTGGTAAATACATCAGCAAAATATTCGAGGTAAAACTAATACGAAATCACATATTACACTTTCTCATTGTGCCTATAATTATCCAGTCCACAAGTTTTTGAATGCATTTTAGTAGAAACAGTTTTGATTAAAACGGAGGATTCAAAGAAGAGGCATATGCCCTACCATTTAAAAAATTATACCTACATTCAGGAGATATTAAGTTTTCATGAAAACCTGCAAAAATTATTCCCAACATGAATATATACAATACACATGACATATGAGCACATAAGTTTGAATACCTACATAAAATTTTCCACCATTTCTCAACCATAAGGCACAGTCTGAAATCAAAATTCATTTATTGATAGGTACTGCCTAAGAACAGTCTCATTTGGTAAAACATATTAAACTTTCTGAAAAATGTAATCACTGCCTCACAAAGATTATGCTGGAGTTGAAAAATCAAAAACAAAAAATTACACGTGGAAATTACGTATGATACGCCAATGTCCTCAATATAACCTAAAAAACAACAAATGTCAGAAATCTAGTGTTTATCCCCAGAAATGAATAAAGATGGAACTATATAACTGTTTCACAGACACAGAGTGAGAGGAGAAGAGGATCTGTCCGAGTGTCCTTACTGTTAATATAATTTACATCATGGGACCCTAGTAATATCTACTTGTGTTTTAGAGTTTTTTATCGTTTGTATTGAGTCTACATCAGCTTCAGAAATTGGTTAACTTAAAAATTTCTGTTATGTAACTTGAGTTGCATTTTTTGTATATTTCAACTCTTCTGTTGGGTTTTTAGATATTTCAACAATTGCTGCATATATTGATGCTTTCAAATATGGTTGCCCCCCACACGCTGGTGGTGGTATTGGTTTGGAAAGGGTCGTCATGCTCTACCTTGGTCTGGACAATATAAGGAAAACATCAATGTTTCCGAGAGACCCTAAACGTATAACACCATAGATTTATACAATGTTATAATAATAAAATCAAGATATAATCTTTCTACTGCAATTTATTTTTCCCAGTTGATTTCAATATTCAGACATAGGCAAGTGAAATACTTAGTTCAACATGGTTCAACCAATTTTAGAGTAGAGAATATATCATGGGCGTACACAAGCAGAATCATTGTAAGTCCAGAAAATAATATAAGGAGAAGAACGCAATTGAATATTCCAATCAACCTGTAAAATTATAAGGAAATTGACTTAAGTGGATTTCCATTGACTATATCTCCGGAAACAAACGCAAAATGGACTTGAATGTTTATTTGCCTGGAGCGTTATGCTAATATGGACTTATGTGTGATAAATTCCTCATTTCCGAAAAAAGTGGACTTACAGGGTTCTGCTTGTACGCCCACGATATATGGGTTTTCTTGGGTTTTCCAATAATAAACATAAAATTGGAATATAAAAACAACAGGTTTTTTGAACTAGCACATTATTTGGAAATAGAAGGCATAATACAAACATTGAATGAACATACAATGAACATGTAATACAAATAATAAAAAATACAATCAATATTTCTTCCTTGGAAAAAATACCTATACAGACAGTACCTTCAAATAAATTTTGAGGATGATTGTAAAAACAGAGGAAACAAAATTAAAACAGTCTCTAATATCTCTGAGTTAAAGCTATAGGTGATTCTTATCAACTTTTGTGAAAAATTAAAAAAACATAAAATGAAGAACTCATGATGTTGTTTCCATTTCAACTAAGTTCTCCTGTGCATTATCATCATATCTCTTCCATTGCTTCTTCCTTTTTGCATGCAATTCTGCCCGCTTCTTCATTTTTTCATCCAATTCTGCCAGATATTTTTGCTGACAAACATATCCAACAGGTGTTTTCATAGAGTACTCTTCTGGAATATCAATATTCAACATTTCAGGTAGCATAAATACTGATAGCCAAGCAACTAGTGGTGTGTAACCAAAAGTATAGTGAGAATCTTTATGGTAAAATACCACACCATTATACAATATTTTATCTTCAGCTTGCAAACTTGTGAATATATTATCTTGTATCAAAGGCCTCTGAGCAGGCATGAAATGAATCAATGTAAATGTGTACTTTTCAGTTTTCAAAAGTTCACTTTGCTCATCAAATTTGGATTTTAACCAAAAAAATCTGAAGTTTGCTTCACTATCTATGGTGGACATTGAATTCCAAAATAAGCAGTCTAACACATAAATAGTTTTAATTTTGTTGTTATAGATGCAATCTAATACTGTTAATCCATTGTTGTCAGACCAGCCACCTCCAGGAAAATGTGTTTTTATCTTCAATACAATTTTACCATTCTTATTGTAACAGGTTGTAATATGCTTCCTAGCAATAAGTAAAATACGAAAACCTTCTGGTGCAAATTTAACTAGCCAGTCATCATCAAGGTCTTCTGGAATTTCGGTAAGCCATTCAGAATGCATAAGTTTCAACTTAGATCTTTTGTTTTTCGGGGTATTACTGGTATTTGGTGATTCACATTGCATTGATTCATCTTCCATACATTTTTTTTCAAATTGTTCAATGAATAATTCACACTGTTTCCTGTTGTTATCTGTCAACTCATGTCTCTTTTCTCTTTGCTTCTCCAGATGAGCCACTCTCCTCTGCTGCTGAGAGAGCCAATGATTAACATTAGATTTGTACAGGCTTGAAAAAGGCCATAAAGGGCACAAAGCTTCAGTAGTCCAAAGCTCCATTTAAATTGTTATCTCATCAGGTTTCCAATCAATTCACAATATATAATGAATAAGGTTTGAGTGAGCAATAAGCATAGAGCAAACCCCTGAAATCAATGTTCCATTAGTTTTGAGTGAGGTTTTGAGTAGACTGTGTTTTGAGTAGTTTGATTTGAATCTAGTAATCACTAGTAATTCTAGTATAGAGATAGAGTCTAGTCTAGCCTACGGTCTACTTTTTCTAGACCTTGACCTTGTCGAGACTGTCAAGTGTCATGTGTCAAGACCAAGTCTAGACAGACCCAGTGTTGCCAACAGCCAATTTTGGAAACGGCTAGATGCAAGGCTATTTAACTCTATAGAAGTTAATAGACCTTGGGCTAGATGATAGTTGGAAGAAGGAAGAAGGCTACGACTAAAAATTAAAGCGCGCCGCACGCGAAAAATGTTTTTTAATTTAAAGCCATTTTTTGCTTAAATTAAAAGATATGTTTATGTTGACATCAACGTCACAGAACTCAATGGGGGACTTCGCTCCAAAGTTGCCATCCTAAAAACCTCTACCTCTGTAGAAGCAATATTATAAAAGTTTGATTACTCAAATAGTTGGTGCAATTTAATTGTAGGCGTCTACTCAGCTTTCTATCAAACTTCCTCACCTATTGATGATAAATAATATAGTGTTGTCCATAAATAAAATAATCTTAAATACGTTATACGTGAGATTGACGACGATATGACATATTTCAGAACGAAAGCAGGTGCATCAACATAATTTTCAACTAATCAGAACTGGAGTTCACAAAAATTAATCTTTCTTCTGAATAACTTCTATTCGTGAGCTGAGTAAACTCCTACAATCAGATTTCATCGAAATGACGCTATTTGAGTTTTTAGGTTGGCAACTTGGAGCGAAGTCCCCCATTGAGTTCTCTGTAGAGTTTATAATCCTTGAGTTCTGTGGCCAAGAGTGACACAAAGCATTATGGCGTATCACCACGTTCTAAAAATTGTTCTATCCACGTATCGAGAATTATGAAGAAAGAAGTTGTCTCTGAATTCTGTATAATAGTATACTCATATCACGACTTTGTTCACCATGTTTACTATTTTAAGTTTCAAGTGACAGAAGTGACACTATTGATAGCAGCAGGAGTGACGTAATCCATGACGTCATAATGATTCATAAGCGTGTGCGATGTAAAGCGGGGTTCACAACCAAACTTTTTACGTTTTGCTTTTTACGTTTCGTATTCTGATTGGTGAAGCAGAATCTGTAATTAAACGTGAGCAAATGTCATTCACAACAACAAAAAATCGTGACTTTTTATGGCTCAGTTACCTTGGTTTTGTTATTTGTTTTTCATCCTGAAATGAAGTAAATAATCATAACAATAATATTGATCAGATTGATATAGAACTGGCGGTGATGAAAATTGATCCTTATTCAATACTTGAAGAGAAAAATCAATCTTCAACAAGAAAATAATGAATTGGAAAGTATATACCTATCTACTATTCTGTGGATTCACGAAAAAATCATGAAAACATCATGATGAAAAGGAATATTCTCAGATAAATTATGAACATACAAAAATGGATATATATTTATATAAAGCAACATTGAGAATTCGCATTCTCTATGTGATGAGAATATTTACTCATTTTCAGTCTCAATTTGGAATTTCTTTCCACGCCCTGTATGATGAATGTCAATTTATCATACACCCAAAAGCAAAAACATCATGACTTCCATATTATTACAGAATGTTTCATATTATTCGTCTATTTTTACTATTTTCACAGACGATGGCTTCTTGCAACGCAAAAAGCTGAATATTTTCAGCTTTTTGCGTCATTTCAATTACAGATTTTGCTTCACCAATCAGAATACGAAACGTAAAAAGCAAAACGTAAAAAGTTTGGTTGTGAACGCCGCTTAACGGTAGGTAGAAATTTTCAGTTCAGAAAAATGAAATGTCGTTTCACTTCTCATGGCGAAGCACCCCCGTAATTATTGGGGTAGGGTAGGGAGAAGGATGTAGGGAGGAAGAGGAAGTCCAAAAATGAAGTCAATCATGTGAGATACGGGAGTTCTTCCGTAAAAAGTGCGACAAAATTTAATTTTTCAGAAGTGAAAATTTTCCAGGAAAAATATGAATAGTTATAGTGATATCGCTGTGTTGCCTCATCGCGATATCTCAGAGATGCCATGTCGCAGATGTTTGCTGATGTACATCGCAGCGATAGAACATTCGTGATATCGCAGTGTTGCCTCATCGCGACATCTCAGAGATGTCATGTCGCAAAAGTGTTTGCTTATGAACATCGCAGCGATGGAACGTTTGTGATATCGCACTGTTACGTAGACGCGACATCTCAGAGATGTCATGTCGCAGATGTGTTTGTTTATGAACATCGCAGCGATAGAACGTTTGTGATATCGCACTGTTACCTAGACGCGACATCTCAGAGATGTCATGTCACAGATGTGTTGGCTGGGTATTAGGTATTTTTTCTCGATAGGGGTTGCGGGGATTGTTTGTATGGTCAAATCGACAATTAGTTCATTGGGTATGTTAAAGTTCTTTTCACTCTATCTCATCGCAGCAGTTCTTTATATAATATCCTCGAATTATTTTTTTTTGTATTGAAGGCATGAAAAAAAAAACATGTTTTCCGCGAGTGTTTTCGGGTTCGGAGAATTTGGCTGCTATCTTTAACCTAACCTAACCTAACTAACCTTGCTTGTTGCTTGCACACACAAGAAGGATAATGCAAGATAGATAGATAGATGGGTAGTAGAAGGACTAAATACATAACTTAAATTTATTCTTACAAGAATCAAGAAATGGATGCTTATGATATATTCAAAAAATTAAGCCGCGGAGCAAAATTCAAGAAACATATCCAATCAGTGGTGAGTTGGAAAATGGTTGTAAATACCATTATATATTCAAGTATTAAAATACTATATCCCTAATTTTCCATTCAGGAAAGTAAGGATCCAACTCTGAATGAAATCAATTCAAAAAATGCAGCAATTGATTGTAATCTAAAGGACATTTCAAAGAGGGCAGCATTCCAAAATGAAGAATCTGCATTAACACTTCTTAGTGGATTTACCTCAAATTGTGAAAAAAAGGCCAAGAAACGCAAACATGGGGATGATGAAATCAGGAATAAGATTCTGAGGCAAGAAAAAGTAATCATCAAACATATTTATATTCATTCAATCTTTCAATAATGGTATTATGTTTCTCCTAGGTCAACCAATATAGAAATGCAAATAATATCAATGTTGTTGGTCGACGTGTCCCAGATCCCTACAAAGTTTTTGATGAATTCAAAGTAGATGTTGATGTTATTGAGAATTTGAGAAAATGTGGCTATGAAGAACCTACACCTATTCAGAAACAAGCAATACCTATCATGTTAGAGGTGAGCAATACAAAATTAGGTGCATATCCTACTTTGAAAAGTCACCTAAATCCAATAATTTGTGGATGTTGCCTAAATTTCAGGGACGGCAAATTTTGGCATGTGCCCCAACTGGATCTGGGAAAACAGCTGCATTTTTAGTGCCAATAATTCAAGCACTAGGTATGCCCCAGAGACAAGGCTTTAGAGCTTTGATCCTGTGCCCTACTAGAGAACTTGCTAAGCAGACTCACAGGGAATGTGTGAGATTATCAGAGGGACGTGGATTTCGAATTCATGTTATAAGTAAAATTAAGAGAGCTCTGACACAATATGGCTCAAATAGTTCACAAAAATATGGTAAATATTTTCCCTCATAGAAATTAACTCTAAATAGTCTAAAGGAATGAATATGGGCAGGAAGGTTAGGGTGATAAATCAGATGGATAATGAAAGATGATGAAACAAAACAAAATGATCAGATGTTGCTCTAGATGTGGTATGGTGGAAAGGCAGTTTTTTTTTATATAATGATTCATCATGTGATTGTGTCTCATAGGTCATACAATACACTATTTTATTGATTGCCTCAATATGATTGAGTTCTTCATCAGATTACTAATTTTAAAATCCTAGGTGAGATATTTCTTTATACCACATAATTTGTAATTTCCTGCTAATTCCATCTGTAGTTAGTAATAAAACATGTTGAGAAAAATTCACAAATATTCAAAAATTTTGTCAACTGTATGGGCATAGATGAACCAAACCCTGTTTCATCTATGGTATGAGTAACAAGCACAATAAAAAACTTTCAATTTATTATCAGAAATAAATTTCTGTACCATATAGACCTCTAAAAAATGTTTGATGAATATTACAAACACTATACAGGGTGATTCACATAAGAACCGACATAGAGCAGGGGCATATAGGAGGTCCCAAAATATGGCAATTTAATGCAACTTACCTCTATACCAAGTTGCTTCCCTAAGGAGTTATAGGCTTTGAAAGTGAAGTTCAAAATTTTGTAAAAAATCAATATCTCCGTTATTCTTGAACTTAAAGCAACCAAATTTGGTACACTTTGTGGATGTATTTAGGGCGTTACTTGACAGTAACTAGAGCTCAATTGAAATTTGTAAAGGGGGTATACCGGGTGGCGCACCATTAATATTCAACAGAATTTTGTTAACCCTTAATGGCTTTCAAAAATCTTTGCTTTGTTGTGTGGGCAATTCAATTCTAACACTTTTCTCACTCCAGTAATTTTTCTAAAAACCTCATCATTTTCATCAAAAACTCGAATAACTGAAAACGCGCGCTCTAGGTGTGTTATTTAAAATCATCGAAAATTCAGAAGTTGGCTATGAAAATAAACGTACAACAAGACAGTAGGTCATTAATTGTGATCAGTAGAAATTGGCTGGCAAATTATTATTCAGATACATGACAAGATACATAAAGTAAGTACAGATACTGAAATGTGAAAAACTGGGATTAACAACTAACCAAAATAAACACAAAAAACTTAAACAACAACCAGAACAAACAATTGTTTATCGATAAATTACTTAATCGAACAACTTACTTGCTTCATTGTCAAGTTTGACGTTTATTTTCATAGCCAACTTTTGAATTTTCGATGATTTTAAATAACACACCTAGAGCATGCGTTTTCAGTAATTCGAGTTTTTGATGAAAATGATGAGGTTTTTCGAGAAATTACTGGACTAAGAGAAGTTTTAGAATTGAATTGCCCACAAAAGAAAGCAAAGATTTTTGAAATCCATCAAGGGTTAACAAAATTTTGTTGAATATTAATGGTGCGCCACCCGGTATACCCCCTTTACAAATTTCAATTAAACTCTAGTTACTGTCAATAATACATCCACAAAGTGTACCAAATTTGGTTGCTTTTAGTTCAAGAATAACGGAGATATTGATTTTTTTCAAAACTTATAACTTCACTTTCAAAGCCTATAACTCCTTAGGGAAGCAACTTGGTATAGAGGTAAGTTGCGTTATATTGACATATTTTGGGACCCCCTACATGCCCCTGCTCTATGCCGATTCTTATGTGAATCACCCTGTATTTGCAATTAATATGAAGTAGGTACTTTAACTTTTCAGTGAGAAAATTCTGTAAGGTTTATATTTCTGAATCACAATTTCCATTGGTTCAAATCAAACAGGATAATGTCAGTTCTGTTTATTACAGATATACTTGTTACAACTCCAAACAGGTTATGTTTTTTATTGAAACAAGATCCACCAGCTTTATCATTGAAAAAGTGAGTAAGATTTTCAATTCAATAATAGGTCATCTAATATGAAAGATTGCCACAAACTTCTTAATAACATGGCATGTTCTCTTAACACATTATATACCTTCTTCAAGTGAAATTCTTGTACCAAAAATTAACATAACATTGGTTTTCCTAACATATACGGGGTGTTTCGGGAATTGCAGCAATAATTGAAATGGGTGATAGCAGAGGAAAAAACAGAACGAAATTAAAGAGTACATTTTTGGCTAAAATAAAATATTTTGGAAGATATTGAGCATCAAAGTTTGCTCGAAACTTTTGTAAAACATTGATCAGAGGTTAATAGCCTATCCCAAGCATTTGCTTTCCAAGCACCGGAAGTATAAATGACTTTCGCAATGTTGCAGGACGTTCAATATTAGTTGAAAGATGTAGTATGGTGGAAGCCAAACTTACTCAATCAAAACTTCAAATAAAATGATATTAAACAATAAACAAATTCAATGTGACAGTAGTGTCAATGTCAAATTGATTTTCGAGAATACTATGTGTAACCTTAGATCATGTAGCACATTAATTTGGATTGAGACTGAGAGATAGACTGCCTGAAGCACAATTTCAAGAACGACGCTCTCAAATATATGCGTTTGTGGATGAAATCATAATAGAGAGTTGAAGTAATCACTGTACGTAGACCTCCACGTCGACGTTAACGTACGGAAAATAACGTTTACGTATTGTCGTTAAATTGAGTTGAAGTCGCCACTTTGGTCGTCACTGTCATCATAACGTAATAATACATTTTGTTTTAGGTTTGTATTGGTCATTTTTGGTTGTGTGTTTAGATTCGAACATTTATTCCTGTCAAAATTAGAGGACTCCTTGATGCAGAACTCGTTGGTGATCTCGAATTTGATAATTTTGACTCATCGGCATATTTCGAGTATAGTTTGGTTAACGTACGTTGATATTTAAGGTATACGTGAAGGAACGTGAGATAACGTACACCCGTAAGCCCACTAACAACGCAAACGTGAAGAATTGGAAAATGCGCATGCGTAGCTGGCAATTTCTACGTTTACGTTAACGTTCATGACAACACTTCAACTCTCTAATATCTATACAGGGTATGTCACGACAAGCTTACACTATCTTTATATCGAGAATCAGTCGGGAGAAATAAAATATTTTCGGCAATGCAGTGTTGCTGCTTCTACTAGAAAGTAGTAGCAATATTGATTTTTCAAATGGAGACCCCTATATTTTATCGCATTTTTATATTCTGTCTGGAGAGCTGATTTCATCGATGTATCACACTTGGGGTCTATCGAAAATAATTATAGAGATATAGGGTGTTCAAAATCGAGATTTTTCAACTTTACGATTTTTTTCTGTCGAAACTATTCATTATCGGCCAAATCGGGTCACATGTTCCTATCTCAACTCTTGATTCACTATTTACTGATATTTAATAGGAACAGATACAGGGTGGTTCAAGATTCAGAATTCTCATCACCCTGTATCTATTCCGATTAAATATCAGTAAATTGTAAATCAAAAGTGGAGATAGGGACATGTGAGTCGTTTTGGCTGATAATGAATAGTTTCGACACAAACAAATCCTAAAGTTGAAAAATCTCGATTTTGAACACCCTATATCTCTGTAATCATTTCCGATAGACCCCAAGTGTGATGTATCGATGAAATCAGCTCTTCAGGGAGAATCTAAAAATGCAATAAAATACAGGGTATTCTATTTGAAATAACAAAGTTGTTGCTACTTTTTGATAGAAGGGGCAACACTGCATTGCTGAAAATATTTTAAATGAATCATATTCTAAAATATGAGCATGCATATTTTCATGGATTTCTCCCGACTGATTCTCGATATAGAGATAGTGTAAGCCCGTCGTGACATACCCTGTTTATCTTGGGAACAAAGGTTCATTTCCTCCCATATGTGTTAAATGGCCTTCGCTACGCGTCGGGCATCAATCTTCAAACGCGGGTGGAAATGGATACTTTTGCTCCCTTGAAATATCAATGGCTATAAATACCAGCATGCATACTAGTTAATCCTACACTTCTTAAAGTATGCACAATATTTATATTCTAATTTGGATATTACCTTTTAAGGTTCAGTTGCATAAACCTAAACTTTGGCGGGGCATTGATTTATGGGAAAGCAAAATACACAATGTTGGTCTATACTCTATACCGACAAACGTATGCCAGAAAGTGAACTATCTTCGAGAATTCAGTAATCTTTGCTATTTATTTGACGAGAAATCAACTCTGCTATCATCAGATCATTTTCATCAGCTGAGGCGTAGGTTGTCGTGGATATAAACAAATTAAATATTAAATCCTATGCTTTATGATGCAACTAGCGATCTTGACTAGCTGATACACAGAAACTATCTGCAAATCGTCCCGAGTGTATGAACCAATCAGAACGATTCAAGCTATGGCGGTGCATTCAAAATGAATCTTTTCGAGAAAAGAACATAGGATGAAGTGGAAAATTTCAGTCATATAAAAATATAGTATTCAACAAAATTAAATGGATTGAGTCTATTTATCCTTAACAAACTAACCTATTCCTACTTGCAATATTTTTTGAGGAAGGAAAACCAGAATGAAGTAAATACACATTGATCAATGATTAAATCAAGTTTTTCAACAAAATTGAATGAAATGAGACTGTTTATCCTAAATGCACTAACCTATTCGACATTCGATATTTTTTGAGAAGCTAAACCAGAATGAAGTAAAGATATATTGGTGAAAAAAAGTTGTTAAAAAAAGATTAAGCTCATAGCGAATCGAACGTGGGACCTGCAGATCTGTATTGATATAATATGCGCGCGCATTCGGGACGATTCGCAGATGGTTTCTGTGTATCCGCTATTGCGATCTTGGGACATGTTGCCACATACTACCCTGGAAGTATTATGCAATTATTCCATCCAGTTGTCCAGTCAAGGTAATCATCTGACATTGAAATGACATGAAAACTACGGGAAAACATCCCTAACTACTGGCTTAGATTAGAGTTCCTAAATGTACTTGACACTGCTGTTTTGACGTTTTTTGTACGGACACTAGACAAGCAGTGACAATTAGAGTCACTGTATGGTATTAGTTTGATAAGAGTTCGGACACAGCTGAACTCTTGTCCTTTTCTATTTTCTATAATACAATGGTTTAAGTGAATAAAAGAATAAGACATATATTCTGCTCTTTGTCTTTTCAATTTCCCTAGTAGCGCCTGATTGTCAGATACGATTTTAGAGGTTATATTTTCTGTCAAATCAATCATAGCAGTAGATGGACAATGGATATAGGGTACAAACACCCACTTCAATTCATAGTGATACCTACACTTCTAGCAGAGCAAGATTTATATAAATGAAAAAAATGCATGTAACAATATTTTAATATCAGAGAATATATACATATGGATAAACTTATCTTAGCTATAATTCCTTATTGTATGTGAAACTGTACTACATTGAAGTATTCCTGAGACAATTTTAAAAAATAAAGTCTATATAAGCTTGTGTCTGGAAATGCTTCATTTCGGAGATACAGGGTGTTGAAATACAGAGAACAAATCATTTTTCGATAAAGATTTCATGGGCAAAAATGATTTATTTTGACGAGACCTACCAAATTCTTGGTTTTGTTAAGTTCTCAGCAACTTCACTTAGCGCCCTAGGAGCTAAGTAACATGGATCGATATAGAAAATATCTCCAAAACTATAACCTCCAGCGTAATTAAGGCCCTTATAATAATTCCCTTGATACATAAATATCTATTCACTTGTCACTGTTGAATTTTCAATTCGCGGTCAGCACCAAAAACGCCATTCAATAATATATCACGTTGTAGTTTACTTGCTTTTCTGAGTTTCGTTTTCAAATTTTCAATTTCATAATGTAATTTTGCGATCATTTCCCCTTTTTCCATGATTATTTTGTTTTGTATTTTGGTTGATGATAATAATGGAATTTTGTTCTTGAAATCGTTTGCTTTGTAAATTGACGGAACAGCAGATTCTCTCAAACAGATTTTGAAATCTTCTGTTTGAAAATGGGCCTAAAATATAGTTTCATTCAAATCAGATGCTGTTATAAGAAGTGAATTTCAATGAGTACCTACCTCACAAATTCCGCTCGTCTTCAAATTGATTTTCCACCCAGGCCGTTTCATATCTTCCTTTCATAAGCGAATGCTTGATATTTGAATTGGAAAATCGAATAAATGATATCCATTTGTTTCATAATTGGCACAATTTAGTATACAGCAAGAGATTTCCATAGCTGCTTTTATCTCGAAAGTATAATAATTATGAAATTTTATTTCAATTCTGACGTTTATAGAATGAATTGTCAAATTCAAACAATTTTGAATGAAAAATCGCGGGACGACTATGATGCTCTTGTCACAATGCAAGGTGTGTAACTTGATAAATCTAAACATTCAAAAAACCTAACCGTTGTCATTTCTGTGTCCGAACTCTCATCAAACTAATACCATCCAGTGACTCTAGTGACAATCAAACATAACCACAAACGATTTTAAAGCAATCATGGGTTGCGTGCAAGCAAGCGTGCAAGAACTGTCAGATGACCGACGCTGGAGGCAAAACATTGAAACACAACGTCACTTTTCTTATTTGTTTACAAGTGATCGAAATAGTTTTCCACAATTATTTTGGCATATGAATCGTATTTTTCCGCTATTCATCAATTCGCTCATGCCATCACATTGTGCTGTTGTAAAATGCACAAAATTATTATGGAAAAACGAAGTTTTAAAGCAAAAACCAGAATAAAACACAAATACCCACCTACAGCAACCCATTCGAATTAAATATATTGGCAAAAATTGTAGTGATTCAATCTCATGAGAGGTAAACTTCACACCTATTTATACAGGGCCCGCACAACATAAACTTATCGTGAGATTGATCGAAAGAAAATTGTGGATAATGTATTTTATTTTGATAGACATGCCGTTTGTTATAATTACCTATATTTATGTTGGAGAATTCCTATTACCTAAAAAATTAGCCAGTGAGTGTTTTTAATTTCCTGTTGTTGAATTCTTTACCCAACTGATCGTTAGACTTGAAACAGTAATTTTTAAGGGTAAAACTGCATTTATCATGCTATGGTTTTTTTTTTCGAAAATTTTTCTTGGTACTTAGGTATTTTTGTCTGAAAAACACGAATTTGATAATGAAAATGTGATATTCAACATATACAGTAATACACGAAAAAGGTAGGTAGACTATATTTTATTGAAATTCAATATATTTTCAGCATTCAGTGGTTGATTGTAGACGAAGCTGATAAATTATTCGAATCCGGAAATAGAGGATTTCGGGAACAGCTAAGTGAAATTTTGAAATCCTGTGGAGAAAATAGAAAAATAGCTATGTTCAGTGCGACATACACACCAATTGTGGCAAAGTGGTGCGTTCATAACATGAAGTCATTGGTTCGAGTTACAGTAGGTCAAAGGTATGAGTCAAAATATAATTATAAAAAATTTGAGTCTTGAGTAGATTTTATCAAGTCCGGTGGAATTTTCGACAATATTTTCCTACTTGTATAAGGCGAACGATTCGAATTCTACACTCTTGCTATTTTTCATGCAATATTTCAAAAAACATACTTGGCGAGATGAAATAAAACAACTTTTAATGAAGAGAAACTAACTTGTATTTTAGTATTGGTTTGATATGAGAGGTATAGTTGGTTTTTCTTTCTGAACCACAGATGATGTTTTCTGAATAACAATTATTTATGTTTTTTTAAAGTTGGTATGATTCACGCATTATGCAAATCAGCAACTCAATTCGATGCTTTGTGAATTTCAATAGGATTATCTGAATCACAATCCAGGTTTATTTTGGAATGGCAGGTATAGTCTTCACGAAGTTGCTTGTAAAACATTCAGCAAAAAAACATGACGGCTTCACGCAGTCCGTTTGAACTTTTCAAAGGGATCGACAAGCGCGACGAAATTCTTTTTTCAAGTGACTTTGTAAAGACTATACTCTGAAAAGCTAGGAGCAGATGGTACTGGTAGGGTTAGTTGGTGGTCAAGTCAAACTTCAAACTTACTCAGAAACTTCATTCATTATGGTTAATTGGATGTCGCAACGTTGTATTGTGCTTTTGTGTTTCTCGAAAACGTCTGGAATAAGCACGAATTCAGGTACATTGTAATCACACCTCTTATTTAGAGTTTTCATGCAGTCATGATAATTTTAATTCTGTAAACTTTGGTGTACTGAAGGAATGTTCACACTGGTGAAATGAGAATATGGCGCCTAATTCAAAATCATGGCCATTCTGATGATTGAGTGCCACTTTGGTTTTGAGTTTGTTTTCAGGATTTATTGTAACATGAAAAAAACGACGATCTAAATGAAACTAGCTGGAAACTTAAACTTTAAACGTCTCGTCAGGTGTAATATTGGTGTAATATATTGTTTCCAATATTATTCAATCGTAGCGGAAGTCAACTCTTTCCAATATTATTCAATCGTAGCGGAAGTCAACTCTTTCCTATGGTTTCCAACGATGTCTTCTTAGTTGGAATGGACAATAGAGCCACCACCGACATAAATACCATCTAGACTGCTATACATGGTGTTTCATAATATACAGGGTGGGCCACCAGTAACGCCTCGGTCTCTAGAAGGCTAACCACTCATCTTCTTGGAATTATTCCTCTCTAGGAAGTTGCATGTCAAAGTAGGCTACCATTTAAAATAATTTCAAACATACAGGGTGTCCCCAAAAATTTAGAATACACTGAAGTTATACTTTTTTTAATGGAACACCCTATAAATTATTGCATTTTGAGATTTTCCCTGAAGGGTTAATCTCATGCTTGGGGTTTAGCAATGATAATTACTGAGATATAGGGTGTGGAAAATCGAGATTTTCCAAGTTCAATACTCTCTGTATGATTGTTGAAAATTCTAAAGTGATGACTGATGAGTGATTGATTAAGAGATGCATACATTCCGTAGAAATGCTGCTACTGACACAGTCGATCAAGAATTGCTCTATGTGGGGAATGAGCAGGGTAAGTTGTTGGCCTTCAGAGATTTAATAAGAAAAGGTCTGAGTCCCCCTGTTCTCGTCTTCGTGCAGAGCAAAGAGAGAGCACAGCAGCTCTTCAACGAACTCATCTATGATGGCATAAATGTCGATGCTATCCATGCTGATAGGACACAGTTACAGGTGAGAAAAAAATAGTTGAAATCCAATATGTTGTGTAATCTTTCGGAATATCCACTAACTTATTATTGATGAATCTGAAAAATATCTAGTTTGTGCTAGTTCCTCAAAATTCAACGTACACAAGGTGATTAAAAAATAACAGTCCCATATTCGAGTTTACATCTTACTGTACATTCTTGGAACTGGAACTGCAAATTGCGATACTCCTCAATGCAGGGGCAGCGAGTTTTATTATGTTCAATGGGTGCCAGAAGGGGGTACGGCAACCAAAAATGGGCCGCAAGAGAAATTTTTTGTCCAAAGTCGAATGCCCTCGAATTTGAAACTTTCAAAATTCAATACCAATTATTTTTTATAAGGTAAATTACATCTGGTTTTGCGTCTTTTTTTATGTAGTTTAGTGACTATATACCTTCTCTGCTCAACCATCCCAGAAACTCACGATTTTTCGCATGAAAGGAATTTTTTTTCGTGTGATCCAAAAGATAAAAAAAGAGGCCTTCCATAAGGGTTGTACAATGAAATACTTTGTATAGGTAATCGAAAAAACCCTTTTTATTATTAGTTCCATGGTTTGGATGGAAAGTCTGGAAGTAAAAAACCTCACTTTCACGATTTGTTCACGTTGAAGGAATCATGATATTCATTGTGTTGAGATGGAATTTGAATTGAAAATTCTTCGGTAATAAAAATGACCCTAACTGCAATTTTTTCGCGATATCCTTCTGGATGAACATTATCTAAACAATGAAAATATTATGAAAAAACGATTAAATCAACCAGAAAAGATTGTTGTACTTTCAGCTCCAGAATCGAAACCATTAGTCTAGAAGTTGATGTTAACTGATGTTGATAAGAACCAAATGAGGGCTAATATTTTCATTCTCACCAGTTGGCGATACTAGAACATGAGGTCAATGTCAAAGTCAAAAATCCCAAAATTTCGCTGGATAGCCCTAAAAGCTATGGCCTGTTTTATCAAAAATATAAAAAAAATGATGTAAAATATTTGAAGAAATAGAAAACCTCAAGTTATCGAAAGACGTGAGCCTGTCTTACGTTTTTTTACTCTCAAAGTGGAACTCTACGACCAATTCTTACATTGACGGAGAAGAAGATATCATAGCAAAAGGCCAGATGACACGAAAATAAAATTATATTTATCAGTTCTGCCAACTTGACCTCATGTTTCGGTGGCGCGGTTTGGTGGACAATAAATAATGTTAGCCCTCATTACGAAAAAAACGGGAGGAAGAGATGAAAATCATAATTGAAGACCTCGGTGCAAGAACCAGGCAACTCCATTTCATGCCGAAATTGGGTAATTGTATTTAACATATATAATTTTTTTGCGCATCTTTTGGTGAAAGTATCAAGCGAATCCAACAACTTCCTATCAAGCTAACACGGGAAAAGATTTACCTGATGAGCCATTGAGGTGTAAGAGTCGGGCAACTCCAGGAGTTACCCGATTTTAGCACCGAAATGTAAGTCATTATGGTGCTAGAGTCGTGCAACTCCAGGAGTTACCCGATTTTAGCACCGAAATGTACGCGTGTAGTGGGAGTGAGGTTATTAGCGGCAAGCCTTCTCGCGTCTTCCATCGTGTGTGGCGTGATTAGTTTGATCATTTGTGTCATGCAGTACAATGTAATGTCGTCGGAAAGTGAAAGTGAGCCGTTTCATGGTTCGGGCAGTGAATATGTTCCAAAAACATGACTGTTGGCGAAGAGAACCTAAATACAGGCAATGTTAACAAAGATCAAGACGCAGGAAACGTCAGCGATTCTTCCTATGTTCAAAATACTATTTGTTTACAATATTTTTTGTTATATATTCCATTTTCAATAAAAAAGCAAGATTATTACACGAGTTTGACTATATTTTCAGAATTTGGTCTTTTTGGGGCAAGAAACAGGCAACTCCATTTTTTCAAACTTCTTCTTTAGCTTCTGCAATGTAAATGAAAATAAGTGTCTAGATAAATACAGCTTATCTAACGTAACTCTAAAGGATTCATACCATTTAGCACAAGTTTTTTCCATTCCCCAACATTTTAAAAAATTGGAGTTGCCCGGTTCTTGCACCGAGGTCTTCAATTGATTTTCATACAAATTTTATTATGAAGGAAAGGAATATGAAAAACTCACGATGCAAGAAAATTTATCTCTGAAGAATAAAATCGATATGTAGATTGAAATGGCTGCATTGAACCCATAGAGAATGTCTACATGGGTGCATTGGCGCCGATGCCCCCATGTACTCGCAACTCCTGCCCCAATGCTGATTGTAGGGGAGGCAAAGAGGCTAAATAGGGATTTACTCGAGCGTCGTGGGGACGTATCCGATTGTGAAGATTATATGCGAAAATGAAAAAAAGTTTATATGATATATGACGTTGCATTGGTGGGGAGAGCGTGTACAGCATATACGTATTAATAATCAATACGGATAATCTCTATCTGTTTCCATAGCGAAACATGAAGCCGATTTTTGAAGACAAATTACTATCCATAAGGAAAAGTGAGATACGATCAGACACATACTGCTTTGATTGAAAGGCTAGTAAACGTCATTGTCCACCGAAACGCATGTCTTTGATGACTACGTATCATGCCACCAAATCCTTATGGATATTCATTTGTTTCATATTTTTGGCTTCATCCTGGCACCCGTTATGATCCGTATTGTTTATTAATACGTATATGGTGTACAGGTGTTCAAAAATGTAAAAAAAACCAGTCGCATAGAAATACTTGAGCGTATGCGCCCCACGTGTTTCTGATAACCGAAAAATATCAATCTGCCGGTTTGCATGGTGGGAGTGGCCGTACGAAGGGATAGAGAATAATCTTTGGTAGAAGTCCATATTGCTCAAAGTGGAGTGAAATATTTCACAGGAAGGAAGGAATGCTCGAAGTCATCTCCACAAATTTCAATGATATTGTTACATAATCATAAGGGACATGTTTCGGTCTTATAAAAGACCATCTTCAGCCTAATTGAAAGGTTTGGAGTTGAAAAAATTTTTGATGCTACTATTTCTTGAATTGTCAATGCCCATAGCCAAGAATTCCAAAGTTACTGAAAAAACGGGTTCTCAATAAATGAAGGGCCCAGTGCCCTGAGAGCGTATCAAACTTATACTTTTTCTTATAGCACACCTTGTATTTTATTGCATTTTCAGATTCCTCCTTATGAGCTGACAACGTTCATGCATTGATAACAATATACGAAGTGATACTTTTTTCTCAGTTTCCTACGTTACCACAATTACATACATAGTTCCCAGTTGCTGCAAGCCCCACACTCAATTGATGATTTTGGCTACTTCGGCTTGTGCAAATCGGCAGATTATGTTATTTCCGTCATCCGTGTCCTTATGTTAATCTGTCGCGCTCGAGTAAATCCCGAAATCCCCGCTTGGGCTTCCCTACTATTATTAATTATTACGTATATGGAAATACTAGGTTGGTGGTTGGCTCATGGCATCTGAAATTCAGGAAATGGTATGTCAAAAATATTTCAGAGAGACAATACTGTGAGGAGTTTTCGCGAAGGTCGTATTTGGGTGCTGATTTGTACGGAACTGATGGCCCGCGGTGTCGATTTCAAAGGGGTGAATCTCGTAGTCAATTACGATTTTCCACCGTCGGCAATCTCTTATGTCCATAGAGTTGGAAGAGCAGGGAGGGCTGGTAGAAAAGGAAAAGCCATCACGTTTTTCACCACTGACGATACCGTTAATCTGAGAAGGTAACAATGATTTCAGCTTTTTTTGTGTGGTGCTTTTCATTACTAAATTATATAGTGAGGACGTAAAAACTCTTCCCCCCCTTTAACTTTTGAACGGAACAAGGGAAGGTCTTCGAATGTTTTTTTCAGCGTTTCCATGGAAGAGAGTTTGTTTCTTCTCAGCAGATCCAACACGATGTGTTGTGACAATTTCTACAATCATCATGTTGGAGATGCAAACCTACATACCGAACACTGCAAGGAGAACATCTTCCGATAAGGCCTGGTTCAGAAGAAACTGCTCTAGAGCTGTCGCTTCCAAACAGGCAGCATTACATCGATGGCAGAAAAGTCCAGGCCTTGAGACTAGAGCAGAATATGTCGAGGCTATAATAAGATCAAAACTTGTTGAATGTCCTAACGGATCCCGTTCATTTTGGTCCTTCGCCAAAGCTGTAGGAAGAAACTTCACTTCCAGCTCGTTTTCTCCTCTAACGAAGGAAGATGAAACACTACCCACAACTGCCTAGGAGAAAGCCAACATTCTTGCGCATTCATTTGCTGGAAATTTTACTCTGTATTCATCGGGAAAACAACCTCCAAACATAACGCCAATTAACAGTCATATGCCCGAGATCACCTTTCGCCACCGTACTATATGGAAAATTTTATTGGGTCTCAACACTAACAAAGCTTGTGGCTCCGACAGAATCCCACCGATTATTCTCAAGAAATGTGCTCCCGAACTAACACCTGTTCCAAACTTCCATCTTATGGCTTGCCTCCCCAGTTATGTTCTCTGCTAGCTAGTTTTCTCTCAAACAGGTCTCTCCATGTAGTGGTCGACGAAGTTTTTACGACTCTCTTATCATAAATGCTGGTGTTCCTCAAGGATCAATTCTAGCACCAACACTATTTCTACTCCATATCAACGATTTGTTGGAAGCAACTTCATGTCCAGTACAAAGCTTCCAGGATGATAGTACCCTCCATACCGCCTTCTCCTCCAGGGCTTCAATACCAGCCAGGCAAATCAGAAACGAATGAGGAAGAAATGTTGGCAACATAAATATGGACTTGGCAACAATTCTCGAATCGATCCAATAACTTGGGTAGAATTCAATGCGAACAAAACAGAAGCATGCCTTTTTTCTAGAAAAGCCGATCTCACTGTGTCCAACATAAGCTTGTCAGGAGTAACCATACCTTTGAAGACATCCATTTCAATGCTTTGTATTACTATCAGCAATAACCTTTCATGGGAAAATCACATGAGATCAATTGCTAAAAGTGCATCCCAAAAACTAGTTTTTTTGTTCCGGGCCAGGAGCTAATTCCCTTCCAGTCAGCTGCTCATGATTTTTAAGACACAGATCCGACCTGTCCTGGAATACTCTTCCCATATTTGGAGTGCAACACCCAAACATACCCTGAAACTGTTCTGGCCAAAAATGGGCAATTCGTCTCGTGGGTGATGCCTCGCTCACAAACTCACTCACTTCTCTGGAACACCGTAGAAAAGTTGGCGATCTGGCTCTATTGTATAGATATTTTCATGGACGATGCTCTTCTGAAATAACAACAATTGTTCCTCCCTTGGCAGTCCCCGCGAGATTAACCCGTCGAGTTGAGGCTTTGCATCCCTTCGTGGTCACTCTGGAGACCTGCAGAACATCTATTTCCAAAGACTCGTTCATCCAACGAAGAGCGAGGTTATGGAACACATTGCCAAGGAAGGTGCTCCCCGAGGCATATAACCTCCAGAAATTCAAGAAGAACACCAATTCCTACCTTAATTTCCTTGGTTCTCACGATGTTTTCTAAGCATCACAGGATATCCTTTTTCGTGGGAACCAGAACAAAAAGAAGCTAGCAAGTTCGGGTAAAATTCAGATAAAAAACCTCTTTTGATATTTTTTAGCATGAAAATGGTTGTGGTCACGTGTCCTAGTGTCGTGAGGGTAAAGCGGCTAGCTACAGGGATCCCACTTTGCTCCCACATGCGCATAACGTTGACCGTTCGTTAAGTTGAAAATTGCATTTATTTTATTTTGCAGACCGAAAAATGTTTTTTTATTTCTGGACATGATCATTAATTTTCGGTTGGGTATCGATTTATTCGTAGGAAAGGACCCAGTCCAGTGGAATTTTGATATCAATTCGATTACCATTATACAGGGCATTCACCAGAAAATGATATAGATCCGGTTGAAAAATTATTGTATTTTTTCAAATGGAAACCCCCCCCCCAATTATATATTCTCATCCGATTCGGCATCGAAAATGAAGCTAACTATGAATAAGGTTACCTATGCCTACACTCAACAGTTTTCGAAATATCGGCGAATTAACATGTCTCAGTTCCAGAATATTTCGTATCCTTGAGTTAACTTATTCTTAGTTGGCCATTTCGCCCGCATCAGTTGCGTTGGAAACAATCAACTGAATCAACTGCCACGGAAATGTAATTTCAATTAATTATGCCGGCTCTTTTGAATTATTCGAATGAAGATCACTTAAATCTATTTATTATTTTTAACTGAGACTTCAGGAGATGAGATTCATTGATTAGGACCTTAATCACAGAACAAACGCCCCCTGGCTAATACCAACCAACTCCACACTACGTGGAGGATTGTTTAAATCAATTTTATTGTTTTGTTTGAAATTTACCATTTACATAGGAGAAATGAATAAATAACTTTGAAGTGAGTGCCTTTAGATGGAGAGATCCCGGGTTCAAATCCCTACTCAACCTACCCTTTTTTAAATTTTTTTTATGTTTTGTTTTCCTTCCTTCCTGAAAAGTTTGAAACGGCTTGACCGATTTGCACAAACGAAGCGGTATTGGATAGAGAATCAAAAGGCCTTCAAAATCAGGTACCACGTGACACCCTTTTCCATTTGAAATATAAAAGTTGATGGTAAAAGTAGTAAAAGAGTCACCTTATTACCTGAATTTTACCGGACCTCGCTAGCTTGCTCTGTTCAATAGTTAAAGGGGAGGGAGGACTTTTTACGTCCTCACTGTAAATAGCTTCTATATGCTCCAGAAACTTAAAATCAGTAAAAAAACTCCATTTTCATTTCTTGAATTTTTAATTTATATTCAAAAAAATCTCAGTTCCATTACTTCTTCCATATTTTCAGGATGATGATTGAAGTGGATCAAGCAATAGTTTTTCGTTTTTTATTCTATTATTATTCCATTGTTACATAAATAATTGATGCCCCACTATTCATAACTGATTTTCACAGTTTCCAAACGAAATTTCCTCTCTAATAAAAAACGGATTGATCACAACACAAATGAAAATAAATGTTGCACAAATCAATAGATCTAAAAATACTTATGGCTTCTATTTTATCTAAACATCTAGTTAGAACTCCCGAGTGTAAATATTATAGTTTATTCCATATAAGAGTGAAGTGTATGGTAAAATAGGGACGACTTAATATCGCTTTTCATTGATACAGACGCCAGAGTCGAGTTGATACAAGCCTAATAATACGAGTAATCATGCAATTATTGCATTTTCAATTAAGAATAAAACGTTACTATTCTACCATCTACTTTATTCTTATGTGGCTATAGTGTCGACTAAATATCATGTATCACCATTACTACAAAACATTACTTTGATTTATTATTTTTGACTTTCAAAGGCCGGTTGTAAATCTCTTTTAACTTAACGAGGACAATAACTTCGAAATAAAACATGTACTGTCAAGTGCCACATTTGGATTTTTCCACATATTAATAATAATAATAGACGGCGGCTAGTGATCAGAACATCGAAAGGTTGCTAGGTTCGAATCCCCGGCAGATGAGATAATTATTATTTATAAAACGAGTTAAGTATAAATTCTAACCTTTGTAGCATCTGCCGGAGAAGATTCTGCACGATTCGCTTTTGCATTCGAATTAACAGTACTGCTCTTAAGGTGGCATATGGAGTTAGTAACAAAGCCTATACAGACCACACATAGGCTGAAGGAACGCTCGTAAGGTAGATGGCCAGTTGATATGTACATACATACCATTGAAGTATATATACTACTACTAATAATAATGATAATAATAATAATACATTCTGAATCATTTGACCGATCCTGAACATTCATATCCGAAAAAAATATATACTGGCATCCCTGATGACAACAGACTGGGAATTATTTTTTCGTTTGTCTGCATCTCGTGTAGAATTCGATTGATTATTTTTTATAGGTTCTTGATTCAATCAGAAACACACTTTTAGGGAGAATTTTTCGTTTTTCAATAAATTGAAGTTAGTTTTTCACCATATTGGGCTGTTTTGTTTTTGTTGATTACATATTGATTGAGCCCATAGACATATACAGTGAGGGGAGACATGACATTTTATTCATAAAACACTATTTGTTTACAATCATAGTTTCGAATAAGTTAGAAAGAGTTGGCTTTAAAAATGGCAACGCTGTAAACGGTGCGTCAATGTTCACACTTTTCTTCACCAGTCGCGTAGGTTGAGCGAGGGGCAAGACAATTTGTACCACAATGACCTACCCAACGTTATCATACCTATTAGAAAATGTGGGTATAATCTTTCAATTTCCATACCAAATATTCATAGTACGTTAGGTAGGTATACTGACCTAATTTGGATCCATCATTTAGTGGAATTTGAACAAAAAAACAAGGTTTCTTGCAATAGTTTAGTTACATAACCTGCGATAACTACACCACTGCTCTAGTTAAAAGAACCATATAACTTTAGGGTTTGTACGGTGAACTTTTCCACAATTCACGCAGTGGCATTCAATATAATACATTCATAATGGACTTTTAATAATTGTCTTCATATATTTTCATAACAAGAAAACACTGAAAATCAATTGAAACACAAAAAGTCCTAAAATGATCACAAACACAGCACATCAACACTGTAACATCGGATTTTGACATATGTGAATGACTTTAAGGAAAGTTTGCGTATATCGTAGAATACATCGTTGCCACACTTATTATATTATGGAACATTATAATTTTATGTAATGAAGCAGAATTCACATATTCAAATTGAGGAACAAACATACAGAATGAATATACATGAAAAATAATTCATGTATGTTAATACTTTCCTCGATATCAAACACAGGCGGTAGATCTAGGGCAATCCGCAGACATTTGTCATTTTATCAGCAGAAAATCATTATGGATCGGGACAAAATGTAAACAGTTTCGTCTCTCCTCTTTTTAAATGTCTATGATTGAAACCCTGTATATCTTGGAAACTCTCAATTTTTGGAATAAGATGTATTGGCCTATACCACTGTATTATCGAAAAGCCATAATAAGACCGCTTTTGGTCAACCCCGTAACTGATCATAGACCTGATTCAGTGTTGCGGAGGATATATATATATAGCAAACATTTAATCGACACTGGTTTTGTATTTCACCTCAATTTGGCGTTTTTTTTTTTAATTTTTATGGCTGGTTTTGAAATCATAATCCTGTTTGTTTGTAATGGAATTTTGAATGTTTTTATCTCTAGTATAGCACATGTTTTGAAAGACTCTGGGTGTGATGTTCCACCTTATATGTTAACGTTGAAAAAGCCGCCAAGGAAGGAAAAGAAACAACTTGAAAAGAGTGCTCCAAAACGAAATGATATAATGACGAAACCCATTTATGATAGATTGAAAGGAGGAAGAAGGTAAGGAAGGAGGTGATCGAGGCATTTGCATTGTATTTTTAAATTTTGTAGGAAAAAGTTCCAAGAGCTCAATTCAATGTTGAAACAGCAAAGAAAAAAACCACTTAAAGATCGACATAATAAAAGTAAGCGGAAACAGAGTGAACCTATGAATGAAGTGAGCGATTGAGTTCAATTATCGTACCTATGTATTTTCATTTTTGTGAATAAAGTAAGTTTACTTGATAGTTATGTGTGTATTTTTGTGTTGGACCCTTCTCCGATTCATAGTTTCATACTGAGTGGACCAATGAAAACTATCATATTATCAAATCTATCTATCTATACCAACTCGAAAATATTGAATGCAAAATTGTATTACCTGCAGTTTTTACAACTTTGAGTTACCAACCCCGTAAAATCTTCGTTATTTTATCGATCTCGATAAACATTTTTTACACTAATATCTTAAGATATCACTATCATTCAAGAATTTTTATACCTAGGTAAAAAATAAAAAATTATCAATATGAAGTACGCGTTATCGATCGTAGTATGCCTATGAAACCAACAAACATTTATTATCGACCCAATTGTAAACAAAAATTCACTACGGGTGAAAACAGTTGCAGTTTCACTAAAAATTCTTGGAATCATGTTCCAAGATTGGCGTTCAGTAAAACGGTAACGATGAAGATCCTCCTTCCCGGCGGTTTTATGCTTTTGGGGGTGCTGAATCCGAAGTTTTGGCAACAAAGTTTCTTGGTGCGTTCCAAAGTATTCCCAAAACGTAGCGAAATTTTCGCACTTTCTTCAGTTTTTTGACTGTAACTCGGAATCTATCCATTTTAGCAAGAAGACCATCATAAAGTTGAGGTAGATGACTGTGTGTCCATTTAGTGCGTAATTCTTCGGTATCTCGAAAGCCATAACCTACAGAGAAAAACTTTGAGGAAATAGTTATTTATGATATAAGTGCTAAAATTGACATTTTATTTTGTGAGAAGGGAAGTTTGGGACACGACGCCGAAGGCGGAGTGTTCGATCCCTTCGAACAAAAGAAAAAACACTTTCAGCACATATATCATACACTATTTTTTCTACAAACACCATTAAGAGTCCAAATTCCGCATATCTATTTTACATTACTTATTAATTGATTAAATAACAGCCTCGAGATTATCAGTTTTGAAACCAATTCAATCTAATCTATTCATGAAACAAGTTACCAAGGTAAACAAAAACTGAACTTGTTGATTTCTTCTTTCTTTACAACTAACGTCAATAAATCACGAATTATTCTTTCTCGTTTCTTCGTTCCTCGATGGAAAGTGCCCAAGAAAATGAATTTCTTCCGCCGCAAATTGAAGAAGCTGCCGCTAATAAAGCTGTTTTTGAATTATTGCCTAGTAAGTTAAGTCAAAGCGACAGTACGAGTTTTCATACGAACGTTTCTTGAAATGGTGTGATCAGAAAAATGTCAGTAGAAAGGAGGCCAGTGAAAAAGTGCTTCTTGCATACTTTGAAGAAAAGTCCAAAATATGGAAATCGTCAACGCTTTGGTCGAATTACTCTATGTTGAAGTCGATGATGAACATAAATGATCATGACATAAGCAGATATCACAAGCTTGTGGCTTTTTTGAAGCGAAAGGGTGAAGGATATCGACCGAAAAAGTCAAAAGTATTGACAAGAAAACAAATCGACAAATTTCTCGCAGAAGCCCCAGATGAAATATATCTAATGCAGAAAGTTTCTGCGATTTTTGGTGTTTTTGGAGCCTGTCGTCGAGAAGAACTGTGCGATTTGACATTAAATAATTTCGAGGATTCCGGAACTTCACTAGTTGTGCATATACCAGACACAAAAACTAATGTGCAACGCACCTTTGTTGTAAGTGGTACCTACATTGTATATGAACTACCTACTACAAAAGTACATATAGCCCTTATTCGTCCAGTGGATATTAATCATTCTAGAGTTTTTGTAAAATGCATTCATAGTAAACTACTTACCAGATGAAGTGGGACAGCCAAAAAATTGACTAATTTTGATAAGCTATAACTCGAATATTTCTTGGCCGATGTTGGATTTCCTACCAAAGGAAGAAAGCAACATCTTTGGGCTATGCGTCATCGGCGTCGGCTTTTTATTTTTGCGATTCGTTCTCTTTGTACAGAGTGTGAATTAAGAGCCGGAAAAATTTCAAATTTTTGACCAATAATTTGGGAAATGTGAGGGACGCTAGAATTCTTTTTTAGATGTTGGGTGAATGGTTGTTCCGATACCTCGGGACGTCTTTGAAATTTTTTTGATATATTGCGTTGCTATGGAAAAATCGCCATTTAATAAAATTCCATTTTTATTTTAAAATGTGGCCTTTCTTAGTTGAACAATAACAGCTAACATCTGAACTGCAATAAGGGATATTCCTACTGCAGATAAATGACACCAGTGGCGCGCAAAAAGGGGTTTATGATATTTAGAAACGAAAAATTCGTTTTTATTGGAAAAATTCAACAGTTTTATTGATTGTTACAGTTGAAGAGGTGTCATACCCTCAATTAGCATGATGTTGACAAATTCAGAGGCTTGCAGAAAAGGGGCTTATGATATTTAGAAAATAAAAAAACGTTTTTATTGAAATGAAAACAACAGATTTATTGACCGTTACAGTAAAAAAAGTTGCCATACATTTAATTAGCATGATGTTGACGAATTCAGAGGCGTGCGAAGGATGATTCTGTAATCATTGACGTATTAAAGAGGATCCATCATTTTTAATGATTTCATCAAGTGTTGTTCTCTGTTAGCCCAGTGAAAATTTTCTTGTATCATCATTTATGAATGAAAATTCAGGAACGTAACTCTGGTGTTTCTCAAACCGTACAATTTGATAATTTTGTCGAAAAAAAAATAAAAAAATCTTCGATTTTTGCCCCCCCCCCAAAAAATTTTCAAGTATTTTTTCTTTATAAATTATCTCGTCCTATTATTGACGAAGCATTTTTTTTAGATAATTATTTTCTTCATTTTTACTACACGGACCCGATCATATGACACAATCAAGGATTTTTTTTACTGGGTGAACAGGGAACAACACTTAGCAAAATTATTTAAAATGTTTCCATACAATGTAACATTTTTTAATCGCCTTGTATCAATGGCTTCTCTTATTTAATTATGAAATTGGAATTTTAATCTGTCTACGATTACAGAATCACCTTCTGCACGCCTCTGAATTTGTCAACATCATGCTTATTGAGGGTATGACACCTCTTCAACTGTAACGATCAATAAAACTGTTGAATTTTTTCAATAAAAACGAATTTTTCGTTTCTAAATATCATAAACCCCTTTTTGCGCGCCACTGGTGTTAATTATCTTCAGTAGGAATATCCCTTATTGCAGTTCAGATGTTAGCTGTTATTGTTCAACTGAGAAAGGCCACATTTTAAAATAAAAATGGAATTTCATTAAATGGCGATTTTTCCATAGCAACGCAATTTATCAAAAAAATTTCAAAGACGTCCCGAGGTATCGGAACAACCATTCACCCAACATCTAAAAAAGAATTCTAGCGTCCCTCACATTTCCCAAATTATTGGTCAAAAATTTGAAATTTTTCCGGCTCTCAATTCACACTCTGTACAAAGAGAACGAATCGCAAAAATAAAAAGCCGATGCCGATGACGCATAGCACAAGGATGACGCTTTCTACCTTTGGTTGGAAATCCAACATCGGCCAAGAAATGTACGAGTTATAGGTTATCAAAATTAGTCAATTTTTTGTCTGTCCCACTTCATCTGGTAAGTAGTTTATATTATGTAACAAGTGTTATAAACGTCCTTTTAGTAGCGAGTAGTTTAAGCACGAAAAAATACAGGGTGCTTCAAGATTCAGAATTCTGATCACCCTCTGTATCTTCGCACCCTTTCGTGGTCTTTTTGGAGACCTGCAGAACATCTCTTTTCAAAGACTCGTTCATCCAACGAACAGCGAGGCTCTGGAACACATTGCCAAGGGAGGTGTTCCCCGAGGCATATATAACCTTCAGAAATTCAAGAAGAACACCAATTCCTACCTCATTTTCCTTGGTTCTCACTTTGTTTTTTGAACATTACAGGATATCCCTTTTCGTGGGAATCGGAACATAAAAAAAATCCATTTGGATACATGCAACTGAAATTGTTGTAATAATTGAAGTATCGTCATAATACATCTGTTCATAAGTATACATTAGTGTATTTTCAGTATCATTTCGCATATCGAATCGTGAATCATATTTGAATAGAGAATTTTATGGCTAATAAGATGGCTACAGAAATATATATAGGGTGCCATTTAAAAAAAAAAGTTAGGTCTACTTCCGATCAAACAGGTGGTTGGAGAAAATTCTCATTGGTTTCAAGGGAAGCGCCATCATCGATAAAATAACCCTTGTGAATTTCAAATTTTTATCTCTTCAAATAAGAAAACTACAGGCTGTTACATGTCTCCTGTGTCACCTGCTATACAGTGTGTCCTACTTACCATGCTCACCATGGGTATCTTTTTAAGGGTGAGAGATACGAGGTCGGTTAAATGACACCAATTGTGAAGTTCGTTAAGGCCAACTATAATGTGAAAAAATATTTCGATAAAATCTATTCGTTTTTGTTTTATACGGAAAAAACAAATTTTGATCATTTTCATGTCTCCTCCGTAACTTCTTTATTTATGAAAATATTCAAATAGGAATTTCACATTCTCATGGCAGTAATTTCGAAAAAAATATGAAATTTATACCAACTCTTCTAGAATTTGAGATATCAGCACCAACTTTAGTTTTTCAAATGTAGGTCATAGCTCACTATGACTTACTTACAAATAACTTTTTTTTTCTCTTACAGATGATATGTCGCAGTAATAGTTTTGTGGTTATAACATCGGAGTTATTGTCATTTATACAAAAACAAAAAATTATTTGGAAGCCGCCATCTTGAATTTATTAATTTTAACAAAAAAATCATGATCTCCGACCTCAAAAACCCCCCACTAACCAATTTTGAATGGAATCGGACCAAATCTTGTCCGCCATCTTGGAGCAGCCATTTTTTTTAATTTCAACAAAAATTCCATAATGTATTGTCACCGAAATTATGAACACCTGCCAAATTTTAAGTTAATCGGAGTTATGGAATTTTTGTTGAAATTAAAAAAAATGGCTGCTCCAAGATGGCGGACAAGATTTGGTTCGATTCCATTCAAAATTGGTAAGTGGGGGTTTTTGAGGTCGGAGATCATGATTTTTTTGTTAAAATTGATAAATTTAAGATGGCGGCTTCCAAATAATTTTTTGTTTTTGTATAAATGACGATATCTCCGTTGTTATAACCACAAAACTATTACTGCGACATATCATCTGTAAGAGAAAAAAAAGTTATTTGTAACTAAGTCATAGTGAGCTATGACCTACATTTGAAAAACTGAAGTTGGTGCTGATATCTCAAATTCTAGAAGAGTTGGTATAAATTTCATATTTTTTTCGAAATCACTTTGAAAAACTGCCATGAGAATGTGAAATTCCTATTTGAATATTTTCATAAATAAAGTAGTTACGGAGGGAACATGAAAATGATCAAAATCTGTTTTTTGTGTATAAAACAAAAACGAGTAGATTTTATCAAAATATTTTTCCACATTATAGTTGGCCTTGACAAACTCCACATTTGGTGTCATTTAACCGACCTCGTATCTCTCACCGTTAAAAAGATACCCATGGTGACCATGGTAAGTGGGACACACTGTATACCCATTTTCAGTCCCATTCTACAAGAAACATTAGGAGATGAAAAATTACATAAGCAGCAACATATTAATAAAAATGGCGTTGAAATGGCACGTCTGCCAGTGTCGTCGAATTAGGACCAGTCACTTGCCCCAGTCGTACGCCTCTGCATGGTCGTAGCCAGAAACACATAATTCAATAGGGTGTATAGCCTGTACGTTTCTCGCTAAATATGACAATGATACGTCAATTAGTTTCAAAGAACTGGGCACAAATAATGTTTAAATATTCAAACAAAACACCGTGTTACTGAGACAGAAGACATTTTATGTAGGTGATTCGGGTTAGATTTCCATATTTTGAGCTCGGGAATCTATATCTGAAATATTTCCAATCAGTAATGAAACACCCTCTATATTGTGTAATTAATTGCATTTGAGAGTTTTTATTAATTACGTTTGGAATACGGGTAAGTGTATGAGATTTTTGGAAATCAAAATGGAAATTGATGATAAATTAATTTCAGTAGTTTTTCAGTAGTAAAATATCCCTAGGACATTTATAAGGGACGAGAAAATTTTATGACAATTGAAACTCGTTCCTCATAGTAACAGCTCGAAGCTGAGAAATTTGTCATAAAATTATGAGCCATTTGTCAATGTCCGAGGGATATTCGGCGGAAAATACTTTGAACATATTTGCTGATGACACAATTCTTGTATATGAAGGAAATAATTTAAGATATCTAGAAAATTTGGTAAATGATGATTTAAAACTGTATGCAGAATGGCTCCTGAGCAACAAGCTAAAATTAAATGTAAACAAAACAGTTTATATGCTATTCAAAAATAAAAATAAAGAGGCTCATGAGTTACTCGTAAAAATCGGAAATCAAGTGATTCAAAGAGTTGAAAATCATAAATATCTAGGGCTTATCATAGATGATTAGTTGAATTGGCATGATCTTGCAAACCATATCTCAAATGAAGTAGTCCCAATGATTGGTGCCCTGTATCGATGTAGTAGTTATCTAAATGCACAAAATAAGCTTATGATTTATATTTCAATTTTTCTATCAGTCTTTCGGCATCTTATGACAACCTGGGATGTAAGTGGAAAAAAACAATTTGAAAAATAAAAACTTCGGAATGAAAGGATAAACATTTTATTTGTATACAACTATAGAACACATACAGAAATAATATACAATGAAACAGGAATATTGCCATTAGATCGCATACTACAAATGGAACAAAAATCTATAAGATACAGAATAACCAACAAACAAGTAATACAAATATTCGACTGGTAAGCGAAACTCATAATAGGCTTATGTCACAAGAATTTTTTATTTCATAATGGGCTTTTATCACAAAAAAATTTTATTTCATAATTCGATAGAACTCACCCAAACTAGCTCACCACCGCAAACCGTTTCTTGCTGTGAGCTCCCTACGTTTTATAAAAAATTATTGAAATCCCCGATTTTTCGGACCTCTCAAAACGAGGCGATGATGTGACGTCAAAACCCTAATACTGAAACAAGACTATTCCAAACACAGATGAATGATACATGATTTCTGATAGAGTAAATTAGCGCGAGATCACAGTTGAAAGAATTGATATATCAGTTGCCTCAGTCTCCGTCGGGCGTTCGGTATTTTCTTTTTACTATGGCGAGATGAGGTTTCTACGTCATAAGAGGGTCCGTTTTCAGAAGGTACTATTATTTATGTCCAAAAATAAAACATTCCAGTTAATGTTTGGATCAACTTATGTCGTCAATATAAACATATGGTTTGAATTGAAAGTTTTACTAAGGTGTACACGCCCATTGCAGGACTAGAAATCGAAATATAACCCAATATATAGGTGCTCAAGCATTCCATACACTACCAGAATATATCAAAAACAAAGATAACTATTCATTTGAACTAGCCCTCATAGACCTTGATGCAAATCAGCGAAATTCCTGAATGTTTAAACAGTGTTGAAATATTTTTGAAATGAAACTTCGATATAAATGTAACTGTTGTTTGTTGTTATTTATTTGTAATTGATGTACTTAAGGAACATTTCATTATACTTTTTTATGTTCCTGTTATGTGCCATTGCATCGTCCTATATAGTAAATGTTCCGTCACCAGCATGTTGCTGATTTGGAACAAAAGCACTCAAATTTATATTGATATCTTCGTTTTCTTCTTTTTTCTTTAGATATAGATATTTGATACTAGGTGATATATATTTGTACCTGAATAAAATGTTTTGAAATAAAAAGTCGTCAAAGTCGATCGTGTTATTGTCATAGTGATTGATAATTGCACTGAATGCAGTTATCAAAATTCAGTTTCCCATCAAACTGACCAAAAGATTGAAGCTTCGCCTACTTGACCGGATCCATTTTTCAACACGAAACCGTGGCACACCGACTTCCTGGGAAAAATATTGCGTATGCAATGCCTTGACGATATTTACGAAAAATGTTTGTAAAGTTATTTTCGTATCACTCTTAAAGTTTTACTCTTTTGTTTATAGTCCGCACGTTTTTTCATGAGCATTCCTAGAATTCAACACTGAATTACGGAATCTATTAATCAGTAATTCTGAAAGATGTTATCTCATGTATCAAATAGGTATATGGGTCATCAGGTTATTAACGCATTTCCATTTTCCCATAAATTTGTTCGTTAGACATATCCGATGGACGACCAGTTGTTGACCAGTATGTTCATATGTTCAGAGTTCATTTACGTTAACACCAGAGTTTCCGCAGTAGAGGTAAGTACGTAAAATGATTCTTGATTGTTTACGTTATTCTTCAAATCTGAGTCAGTCAATCTTGTTTGATGAGTGTATCGCTATCAGTTTGCACTTCTGTCTCATTATCAATTATTTTATCAGTTATTTATTTTTTCTCGAACCGTTGAATACCTCATTGAAAAATGAAAACACCATTGAGGAGGTAAGAATACTTAGTTGGTGTCAATTATTGAAATGTTCATATAAAAGTAACAATAAGTTTCCTATACCATGCAAAGAGTTTTTCAGAAATGCTAGTTAGGTACATTTTGATACTATACAGGTTATGTCATGACGAGCTTACACTATCTTAATATTGAGAATCAGTCGGGAGAAATCCATGAAAATGCGCATGTTTATATTTCATATATTTCTTCATTTAAAATATTTCTGACAATGCAGTGTTGCCGCTTCTACTAGAAAGTAGTAACAACATTGATATTTCAAATGGAACACCCTGTATTTTATCACATTTTTAGATTCTCCCTGAAGAGCTGATTTACTTTATCTTACTTGTGGTCTATCGAAAATGATTACAGAGATATAGGGTATTCAAAATCGAGATTTTTCAACTTAAGGATTTTTTTGTGTCGAAACTATTAATTATCGGTCAAAACGGCTCACATGTCCCTATCTCAACTTTTAATTCACTATTTACTGATATTTAAGCGGAAGCGTTTTCAGGCTAACAATTTGGATGAGAATTTCAAGTTGTTGAGATATGACATAGAGTGGTCCAGATATATCTTATATATTATATTAATCTCAGTGGCTGTACCCCCCTGAACGTAATCCTGGCGGCGCCCATGTCATGTGGTTATCGGAACACAACATTTGAATGCAACCAGGTGCATAGATAGGGTAGCTACACCAAAAGTAGTCGGAAATAAATGCTCGGCTACGAAATTTCTTGAAATTTTTGTCTGTTCAGAGTACTCTATAGAAATACTTGCGAATCAACTAATAAGTAATTAACTCTTGAACGGCTGGGATTTTTTATATTTTTCTTTTCGCTCCAATGGTAGTTCAAGTACCCTAATTAGACACTTATGTCCCATGGATATCCGTTGGACGTCCTGTCGGGACATTCAGGAAGTCCATACGTTCGAATTTGTACCGTGGACGTCCATTGGACGTCTGTGGGACGCACAAATGTCCCACTTGAGGATCAACTAGGGACGTCCTTGAGGGATGTCCCTGGGACAACTATCGAATACCTAAATCCTACAGTATTCCTCATCAAGCACTACAGAGGACATCCTTAGGACATCCATAGGACAACCTATCAGCAACGCTGAGGGATATCAATTGGATGTCCATAGGATGTCCCAGCGACGTTCGAATTATTCTTGAATTTGAATTTTTCTCTGGGTTCTTCTAGGACCAGATCTTGCATAACTGATTAGGACATCCAGTAGAGTTGATGGTCCGTAGACGGTCCCCCAAAAAGTTTCCCACGGATGTCCAATGGACTTACGTGAAGGACATTGACGAGGAGTACTTATAGCCTACGAGCAATCATTCGTCGGCGAGGTGTAAGTAAACGTCCTCGCAGGGACAACATATTGAAAGTACCGACTGGGACGTCCATAGGACGTTATTTCTAGGACATTGGAAGAGTACAGTTCATGTACCAATTGGGACATCCGACGGATATCCCTAAGGGACATTCGAAGGATGTCCCTAAGGGACATTCCGATTGTTATACGGTCCTGGAAATATTAAGGGCGCCTGTGCAGAGATATTTGAAGGAATGTACCATCAGGGTCATTTCATGGTTGTCTAGAAGGGACATTATATAAGATCTGAAGTCATGCCAGAATATGTACTACTCGGGACATCCGATAAATGTCCCTAAAGGAACGTTTAAAATCATATCCCATCAGGGACATGCCAAGGACGTCCTTGCATGGACATTCTACAATATGTACTACGTGGGACGTCTAAGGGATGCTATTTCTAGGACATTTGAAATGATGTACCAGCTGGGACATTCCGTGGACGTCCTCGCTCGGACATTGCATGAGATGTACGGGATGGGACGTCCCAAGGACACTTATTTTTGGTTCGGGACATTCGGACGTGAATTGTACCAAATAGGGACGTCCCTACGACGTGGTGTGCTATTAGGGTAGTTCTACATTTTGATTCGGATCGAGTACTTTATTAGAAACGTTTTTCCACTTCTCTACATGATACCAGAATTTCAGATAGAAATAGTCATCCAAAACAAAATTAAATCTAGAAAAGTTATGTATCCAGACAAATGTCGAAAGGCATTCATATATTTTCACTGGTAATACCACTAGAGGTCAAATTATAGACGAGGGATAATTTTCGAAATATTCATGAGCGACAAAAAATTCCCGGAAAGTAATTTGACCTCGTGTGGTATTCGGTAAGAAAATTTCACACCAGATTGTGTTTGCAAGTTAAATGATTTTAGAATTTATTTGTTCATTGATTTGCATACAGGTTAATAAATAAATTCAGTTTGGTCGCAGTTTCGGCACCAATAATAGATTCCTGATTTCTACCTATTATATTTGCATGAAAATACTAGTTTGAAATGTAGCATATTATATTCTTTCATTTTATATTAACTTCGGGAAACTACAAGTGATAAGAAATGAATTATAATTTTGTCAATTAATTTTTCATAGGTATAGAGACATACTAGTAGTAGTAAAGAAAGGGGAGGCGGTCGTCTAGCAAGTTGGCGTCAGGTGCACATAATAACTACTATTCCTTCTCCTAATTCTCCTTTTCGAACCTCCGCGGATTTCTGATCAAGGTCAGTATGTCCGTCCACCTTAGAAATTTGTTCTTCCTGTTGAAGCGTATCATTAGCAGACATTTCGAATTTTAGCCTTCCATAACGCCTTAAGGTAGTGGTATGACATTCTATATAATAGATGCAGTTAGGGCATCAATGGATTTAGCCTATCAATTGTTGATTTCTTCCCAATTGAAAGGGCACAAACTCACTATTTTAGGACGTCAAAATATTATTCTGTCATTAAAACGTCATAAAAAATTTCCGATTTCATACGCTGGTGGGTACCCACGAGAAAAAAATTTCCACTAAAATACATACGTTGCTATGGTAATTTGTCATGAAAACCCAATTTGACTGTATAAAAATCACTGGTGTGGAATTTTCAAGAATATTTTCCTCATATATCGGTAATTGCACTGCAGAGCGAAGATTGCACTGCGAAGAGATCCCGTCGCTATAACAACACATTTTATAAAGCCATATGTCGCTAGACGCCAGTAAACAATACAAATAAATATCAGATGGACTTCAAAAAAGTATAAATAAATGAAAGTGAACCAAAAAATACCAAATCCAACAGTCAGAATTCCTTACTTCGTGAAATATTCCAATGAATTACATTCGTGCATAAAAAAGACCAGACAATTTTGCATTCTTGTCTTATACAAATTGCATTCGTTATCGGTAATTTTTATGCACTTGTGCAATTATAACCGAAAATTCAAACGAATTGTAATCTTCTTCTTTGCTGAACAAAATCGATCTTGATACAATCGATAATCGATATAAAAAATTCTATCACGTGAGATTCATTAGACACCAGCAAATTGAGAACTGCCTGGACTTCTAGATGCAACCCTACTTGATCAGGAACTGATTATTTTGAAATTGTTTATCCTTCATTTATCTGCGATATTTTTTTCATTTATCAATATTGATCATTAGAAACATGCACCGTCAAATATTTTTGTGCCTGATCTTGGCCTTGGAACTTATTATTTCTTTTTTTTTATCGCTTGAAGCGCACGAAAGGGAATCCCTATAATGTTCAAAGAACATCGTGCGTTCCTAGGCAGGATAGGGATAGGAGGTAGGTATTGGATTTTTTTTGAACTTCTGGAGATTATATTATGTTGTTGGGAATACTTCCACAGGCAATGAATTCCAAAGCCTAGCCGTTCTATGGATGAAGGAGTTTTGATAAAGTGCTGTTCGACATCTTTCGAGGTTGACAACGAAAGGATGTGCTGACTGGGCTTGTCTAGTTCGTCTGACTGGTATTGCTAGTGAAGGGATGATAGCAGAGATTTCCGAAGAACATTTCCCGTGGAAGTATCGATAGAAAAGTGAAAGGTCGCCGACCTTTCTACGGTGTTCCAATGATGTCAAAGAGTGAGTGAGTGTGGCGTCACCCACCAGGCGGATGGCTCTTCTCTGGATGGAATCTAAGAGCATCAGCGTATGTTTTGGTGCTGAACCCCATATGTGGGAACAGTATTCTAGAACAGGCCGTATCTGCGCTTTGTAGATCATCGAGGAGCTGTTGAGGTGTAAAGTAGCTTTTCGCACGGAACAAGAATCCGAGTTTTTGTGAAGCAGCTTTTGCGATGGATCTCACATGATTATCCCATGAAAGAGTGTTGCTGATGGAAATACCGAGCATAGATATGGTGGACTTGGTGGGGATGGTGGTGCCAGACATCACAATGTCAGGCATACTGAGTTCCGCCTTTCTAGAGAAAATACAGGCTTGAGTTTTGGTGGCGTTGAATTCAACTAGGTTGTTGGTTCTCCAGGCTGTGATTTCAGCAAGGTCTTCATTGACAGCATTGACCTGCCTGCGCCGTGAGTTCTTAGTTTCCTGGGAAGAAATGGCAATTCTGGAAGAGAACGCAGTATGGAGGGTACTATCATCTGCAAAGCTGTGGATGGGGCAAGTTGTTACTCCCAACAGATCATTGAATGAAGAAGGAATAATGTTGGTGCCAAAATTGATCCTTGTGGAACGCCGGAATTGATGCCAATTGTATCAGACGATACACCGTCCACCACCACATGAAGCGATCTGCCTGAAAGAAAACTCGATAAGAGATAGCATAGCTGAGGTGGTAAGCCGTATGATGGTAGTTTGTGGAGGAGTCCTTCGTGCCAAACCCGGTCAAATGCTTTCGATATGTCCAACGCGACAGCTAGAGATTCCCCGTGTTTTTCTAATGAAGCTTGCCATAAATGGGTGACGTAGGCAAGTAGATCTCCAGTAGATCTTCGGTGGCGAAAGCCGTATTGTCTATCATTGATGATTCCCGAGCTCTCCAGATATTTGATAAGCTCAATATTGATGGCTTTCTCCATCACTTTGGAGATTACTGATAACAGGGCAATGG